ATATAAAATTGACTTGAAAAAGTTGCTGATTTTAGAGTACTGGCACCTTTTTCATTCCAATTCAAGCACTGGGTCTCGTGTCATTCAAGCTCGGGAGGGTGTGTATGTGTGGCGCGAGCAAGCGAGAGAGAAAGCGCGTGCACTTGTTACGTGTATTGTTGTTGTTAGCATCCGGTGCTAGCTAGCGGCGCTAACGGAATGAGCTGTCAACAAGGTGGAGGAGAGTCCTCTCCTGTCAGACTGAGAGACTGATAACTACAGCTCAGGTGAGGTAAAGGACTCTCTGAGTGTTTAGATAGTTAACTTAGTCTAAGTTCACTGTGGGTCTCAAACGGTTTGGTCACCATTTATGTAAACACATATTTCCATTTGAAGAGGGAGTGATTAGTAAAATATGCATGAATAATACAAAAAAAAAAGTTAACTAGGTGAAAAAAGGTAGGATAAACTTTAAAAACTTGTTGAGAGCTAAAACTAGTCTTTGCTGCTGCCTCAAAGAGGAGCGGGGGGGAGAGGAGGGAGACAGGTGAGGCTGGTTCAGGAGCAGACACACTATGCCATGTTAACTATAAATGAACCAAAAACAAATAAATAAACAAGTTTCAATGTTTTTTCATATTGGATATGGTATGTTATTGGTTATGGCCATGTTCTTATGATGTTATGATTATTTAAATGTATACAGTTCTGTTTCATATGGATGTAGTCTCTTTATTTCCCCCTCAAAGTGCACCAGATTGATGCATTTAAGTCCAACATTAAAAAAAAAAAATCTTCCGCGGGGAGCATGCCCCCGACCCCCCTAGAGGATTTGAGGTCCACCTCCACTTAAAATATGTTCACATGGATAGGTTCCTAAATAGATTTGCACTTTTAAAAAAAAATAGTAACCCATGTCCATATGTTTATTCTGGGGTAGTTTTAAAGTTTATGGCTATCACTATGGGCAGCAACGCTGTAAATATTGACAAATAAATCCAGGAAAATTACACAAAATAAAACTGGTAGTGGCCTGGTTGGGTGTATAATTCCCGGCCTGACTTATTGTCCCAGTCCGGCCCTGGGTGGAGGTATGCCCATTATTTTGAGTTCGTCCGAAGAATAGACAGGAATGTGACTGTGAGGTGCAAACTGTGTCCAGGCCAGAAGCTGTTATCCACTGCTGTAAACACCACGTCAAACCTCAACAAGCACCTGCAAAGATCACATGCTAAGGTGAAGCTACCGCACACGCTATTTGTTGTTTGTTTATATCACGTAGTCTGTTCTTCTGTCTTCCGGTTGTTGCCTGTTTTGAATGACAAATACACACTACCGCCGCCTGCTGGTAAGGAAAGTTATTGCCACTCACGCATGTGCAGTTCGTACGTGCTCGGCGAGTAAAGTAATGAGTAAAATAACGAGTTACTTTATGTAGATAGTAACGAAGTAGTGTAATATATTACTTTTTTTAAAGTAATATATTTTTAAAAAAAATAGTAACTACCCCATCTCTGGAGTTGGCGTTCTCTACTCTGATTTACATGAAGAACAACAGGAGGTCACGGCACTCTGTTGAACAGGACTTGCGAGTGGCTCTCTCCTCAGTGCCACCAAGGATTAACAAAATCTGCGCGCCCCGACAGGCACATGTATCTCACTAATTTGTAAATCGGCAAACATATTTACAATAGCACATGTTTCAATGCTGATTGCTGAAATGTTACATTTATCATTTGTAGTTCAGGACCATGGACAATGCAGCTTCCTTGCATTGACAGTTCTCTGTGCTGAATTTCTGCTGAGTTTCCTTTGCGTCATTTTTTATTTTGTGACCTGTCTGGTTTAAATGAGTGTGTTGCTGCTTTGATGAAGCCTAATTTGATAAAGTTTCAAATTAATTTCTGAAATTTTTCGTTAATAAATATTTCATGAGTAATATAGTTGTCTTTGTCACATTTTATTTGGCATTAGTAAATAATTATGCACATTTACAGATATTTTACATGATATGAGTGATAACCCGTGCTATAAGGGCTATTTTGCACAATAGGTGTGCCTTGAGAGTTTTACTTGTCCTTTGGTGTTCCTTGGGCACAAAAAGTTTGGGAACCACTGCTTTAGAGTATCCGAATGCACTTTCACTATCCGACGTGTTTATGATGCGCCAGCGGACGTCATTTTGTGCGTCTGCTGCTGTGGGGAAACTATGGAAACTACAGTTTTCTATACAGCGGACTACAACATGGATGTTTAATAAGAACGAGGGACTACTGTAAACTAATCTAGAGACTCTGCACCGTGCTCTGATGCTGTTGCTTTATGCTTTATGAACGTGGACAACAGAGAAACATATTCTTCATGACCAAAGTTGGAATTGAAATAAAAAAGGAAAGTGAAACTTATGCTCGCCACCCTCTCCCTCCGGTCCACATTAATACAAATGATCCCAATACGTATGATTGTATGAACTATGAAAAGATCTTAAAATCAATACAAATGTATTTATTATAAACGTTAGTCCTTAACATCTATCACTGTGTATATCACCATTCAAACATCTTTTTAAAAGTTGAACAAACCCCACACAGCTCAGTAAACACTGTGAAATGTTGACTTTATTTGATCATTTCAGTAAAAACTAACGTTCATATTTCTCCCTTGATTATAATACTGATGAACGTTCAAAACAAAGCACTTTGGCAACTTACCACATACGTTTTAAAAAGCTTAATAAGCACCGTAACTTTCATGATATAATTTCTCCGTCATAATCGTTTGTTTCCGTGAACGGCCGACTGTTGTGTGACGCAAATGCTGCGGCTGCAATGCATTGTGGGGCAGCATTTTCTCCTCTCCTTTCGGTTAGGGAGGTCCAGTGGTTCCTAAGCTAAAGGAGGTTATAAAGGAAGTTTTAAACCTCCTTTCCTATTGTCACTACCCGATCTGCAGTGCGCATGTGCGATATGGTCCGACAACTCCGGACGGCAACCCAAGTAGGACAACATTGACACAGTGGCTTTTGACAAAGCTCAAAATAAAACGAGAGATGAGTTATTGTTATTACAACGTGACTTCACTATTTAACAACTCTTTTTATTGGTTTCTTTTGTTTGGGGTTAAGTACATTGTCAGAATAAGTGAGAAATGGATTTAACTTCTGTTAGACCGCTATCATACTGAATACATATTTACTGTGAATGTGTGCAAAAATGTATGGCATATAGTGACACCTATCATTCTAGAGAATTCGAACAGCACTTATCATGGCTGCCACTGAGGGACTTCCGGGTCATTTCACTCCGTTAGGAAGGTTCCTAAGCTAAATGGACTATTCGACTTCAGCCGAGTTCTCATTTCTCTAACCACCTGCCTGCTGCTTCCCCTCCTCTCTCCTCGGTTCCCCTCCTCAGTCCTCCGCTCGCATCTCCTGTGGGCGGGACTAAGTATCGAGGATAGGAGTCAAGGAGGGGAAATTAGAGTATTGAGAAACCTCTAAGGAAATCACGAGAAGCAGGGAAATTAGTTTTAAGAGCAATGGGACGTCCTTTCCTCCGGAGCGTCACGTGAAGCGATGTCCGTTTGTGATGACGCCGCACAGCTGATCGTCTGACAGCAGCTCTGTCCCTTTTATTTTCAAACACCCCCGCCTCTGTTAGCACACATTTACTGACACAAACATTTGTATCATCTGTTATACCCAAATAAATAAAATCAAATAACTCATTCTCAAAAAAGATAAACGCCATTCTTAAAATGTATAAACGAACATTAGTTGGATTAATATTGATTAGAGTGCACAATAGAAATAAAATAATTGAGAGAAGAAAGAGATGTTATCTATCAAAACCCAGTTAGATTAACATTCATTGGATTGCACACTGTTTGTTTGGATATGTAAAACGAAAAAAGCGATCATGAAAATGTTTCCAAAAAATGAATAAAATGATTTTTGACCACTTTGTTGTTCAGATATATCACATATTTGTAACTAAATGATACTTTAATTGAAACAAAACACGGTATAAACTGAGTGACTCCCGTGAGGTTCATGTATTTTCTTCACTCCGCTGGGAAACTGCTCATGTCAAGAAGCATCAGATCAGTGCATGCACTGCCTCGTCCAATCAGTGAACGATACACAGTAAGGGGGCGGGGCGAGTATCTGAGGATTTCATCGAAGGATGGTCTGGTGATACCTCGATTATAGCTCCTCCATTATCGCTCCTCCGGCAAAAATAAGGCCATTGGGACGCTACTCAAGATGGCGCAGACAAATCAACTTCCGGTGAGACCGAGGAGCGAGGAAATAAAAAATAAGAGAAGTGAAACGCAGCCTAAGAGCAGATCGCGTTCACACCGGAATAAGTTCCCTGAAGGAAGATTAGTCAAATGAAGCCGCTGACATCACTTCTTCTTCTTCTGCTTTGGGTTTACTGGCAGGCCGCAAACCACTTCACCGCGTATACTGCCGCCCAAAGTCCCCGGCTGGAAGTGCCCGGAGTTGGGGACTGGCTTCAGTAGAAGCTGCTGGGACTCCCAGCAGCTTCTACTGAAGCCTTCCGAGTAAATCGCCAGAACGCCGACACCTCCTCATCTCCACCGCTCCCATGTTTTCTTTTGTGTTGCCATAAGTTAGTCTCTCTCCGTTGGTGCGCGGGGCTTATGCTAATAATGCTAATGCCAGCAAATACAATGGCGGCTTCAAAAAACGTTTCCGAGTTTTACGGGGCGTGGTTTGCAATTCGCCCAGCCAATCAGAAATTGGAACTTTTTCCTCCCCAGGATAGTACCACCTCTCTAGCAGGCACTGAAAAGGGGGTAAAAGTTCTCATGAACTAAGTTCTCTTTTTGGTGTTATATATACAGTCTATGGTGTGAACGCAAAATCCCAGGAACTATCGGAACTAAACGGGAAAAGTACGGGTAAAAGTACTCCGGTGTGAAAGCGCCTATTATTTCCTAAATGTAATTCTTCTCCTGTGAGGTGCCACTAATTCAATAATGATGAAAATAAGTCAGTCAGTTTAATAGTTTATTGACAAAGAAATGCTCCAGGTTATAAAGTAACTAAAACCCACTAAAGCAGTGAAACGAGGAATGAAAGGAAGTTGATTCAGTAAGGTTTGAACTTTCTCTGCACCCTCAGGAGAGCTATTTTCTGTTTGTCCTCCTCAAACTTTTTCCTTAGTTCAGCAATATCTGAAAAACAAATAAAGAATATACATAGTTAGCCCCAACAAGGCATTTTATTGTGAAAAGCTTCTTTATCTCCTACGATAGTCGGCAGGTAGAGTATCGTTGTCTACTTACGTTCTTTCTGGGTGTTTCTGTGCTGCCAGGTGTAGAAGTTCATGAGCTCCTTCCTCTTGTTCTTCCTGATCACCGTCTGCAGAGTCTTCTTATTGGCTGCTTCGCTGTGGGGGCGGGCCTTCGTTCCTCTGGTGACTTTCACCCAGCCCTCCTCATCCTCCTGTTGCTGCTTGGCCTCCTCCTTCTGCTTCTCCTCTTCCTAAGAGACAGAAAACACATCTTAAAGAGCCTGTGACACGAGTTTCCCCCATCATCCAAACCCATCAATTTGAGTAAATATTGTCCCCTTGAAAACCGTTACTGAACTGATTTTGGATATTTGTACTTTGATAACCATTAATCTGCCCTTCAATGTTGACCATTTTCTGGATCTTCTCGGGGATTCTTCAAGTCCCGCCAAATTATGTGTGACGTCATTGCGGGCACAGCGCTCCAGCTGCACCGTTCAGGATCCCAGCATCTGCATGTAAACGCACGATGGCGCACACAGCAGCAAGCTCAGACAGCTCAGACAGTTTAATTTTGAACGTGTCTGAGAGCTCATATGAGTCTGAAGGATCGGTTTATTGTATCTGTTAGAAGTTTAGGAATTAGGTGCGTCAATATGGGCGATCATACGGTCATGTAGCCAGTGGTGGACTGGGACTAAAAATCATCCCGGGACTCTCGACCGGCCCACTTCGGTACCGCTAGTAAGTTGTCAACGGGGGGAGTGGGGGATGTCAGGGGCGGCGGGTGCTGTAGATAGTAAATGTAAATATGTGTGTCACTGCATCCTCGTAAAATACAAATATAATGCAATGTGTGTGTCTTTGACATTAGCGCTGCTAGCCACCTGTGCCCTGTACTACGAAGCCAGTTCAACAGACCCTGGATATGTTTGAGTAACAAACAAACTAACAACAACAAACTAACAAACGAGATCTCGCTAAGCGGTCCTACGACGCTGGTTATCAACTCGGTAAATCAAGCCAGGGTTTCTCTCACCAGCTGAGAGCGCGTTCACGTCTAAGACACGAGTGGATCTGACTTTAATTACATTTGACTCGAGTGTTTCGTCAACATAATGTGTTGCTTAAAATAATACTTCTGCATACAGTATGTGACACTGTAAGTGTTGCACGGCCAGATACGGCTGGAGAAGCTGACTCAGATAAGGAAAGATATGATATATTATGATATTATATGATCGATGATCTGATTGATGATGTAATATGAATGATAAGTGCGACACGTCGGCGTCTTCTCTGCATACGGCAGTTTAAACTGTATTTCCTTTATCCTGTAATATGACTTGAGAGATTTAAACTCCGCACACTGAGTTGATCTCTTTTCTATAGACGCCGGAGGCGGGCAGCGTCAGGTAAAAAAAGTTATTTAGCCTTCCCAAACCTGAGCCTCACGCGCCGCCTATGGGGGATGTGCTAGTGACTTATCCGACCGGCCCACTTCGGTACCGGCCCATCGGGATTCGTCCCGATGGCCAGTCCGACACTGCACCCCACGTAAACTGTCAACGGGGGGAGCCTCGCTGCGGGGAAACGGTGGACCTAGTGTCCCGATCGGAGTGGGAATAATAATAATAATAATCCGTGCATTTTATCCATTAATTTCCCCAACATTGTGGTAAAAAAAACACACGTTTAATCCATGTTGGTGTACTACAACTACAAAAAGCATCGGTTTGTTTTCTCATCAGGAAATGCAGACCGGCTCAAACAAACAATTTTTAATCATCATCCTCACGATCATTTAATGTATCATATGTTCGCCGAATTGACATGAAAGCACTAATAAATGTAGATTCATCCACTTGAGTTTACAACTACAAAAATAATCGATTTGTTTTTATATCACATCCCACGGGAGGAAATTCAGTAGCTCTCACTACCGATTTTTAATCCTAATTTAATCATGATCTTCACCACGATCATTTATGTTTATGTTCGCCGAATTGACATGAAAGCACTGACAAATATGAATATACTGTAGTCAACTTCATTAAAACGTTATTAACGTGCCTAAACTCAGTAATTCACCATTTCTACGCATGACAACACACTTTGTCCGTGTTTGGCTCTCTCGCCGCACAGTGAAGCGTTCCCGCATGACGTCACTTCCGGCTTCCCCCAAAACTTCAAAATGAGTCGAAGGAATTTCCCCGCGATGTTCGAAATTATTGATATTTAACGGAACGGTATCGCTTTTTCTTTTTTAAACTGACGGTTCGAGATTACTAGTAGCCCAATATTTCATTGCACAACAGTTGTTGGGATGCTGTCACATGCTCTTTAAAGTCCACATGTTGGATAGATGGGATTGAGACACTATGAGCTGCAGATTTCTCACCTCCTTTTTCCGTTTGTCGTAGCCCTCCATGAAGGAGTCGACTATTTTTTGCAGGTTATCCGTACGAATGAAAGATTCTGTGTACTGCTGAATCCATTCTGGTGTAAACAAGAGAAACAAATAAAAGGAATGAGTCAAGAGGTGGATTTTATTTGTGTTTAAATGTGCTCGATAAACACTAGACTTATTATAAAAAATGGAAATGCAACGCAAACCGCCCTATTAATAAACTGATTAATTACACCTGCAAAGATTGGTTAACCAAGGACTTTGTGTTCAACTAAAGATTTATTTTTACTAATTTGATTAATCCTTGAAGTCATTGTTCATGCAAACACCGTTGCTTTCAGCCTCAAAAGCCAAATGTCCTGCTTTTCTCTGTTTCGATATCAAACTCAATATCTGTGGGTTTTGGAAAGACAGAACAAGACAACCTTAGACAGGCTTTTGGAAACTGGGATTAACATTTTCACTATTTCTTTGACATTTTATAGACCAAATAATTAAATCTAGATAATAACAGGTTAATAGGTACTGAAAATAAAAGTTAATTGCCGTTACATTCATCACAGTGAGGCAAAACAAGGTCATTTATACAGCACATTTCAACACAAGGCAATTAAAAGTGCATATCAAAAATAAAATAAAACATTAAATGATATTTAAATACAGTTGCACTCACTCTGTGTTCCTGTCTTCACCCGACACTTCTCTGTGCAGACCACCAGAGGAACATTATGAGGGTGTGATTTAGCTGCTGCTATACTGGAGGAGTTTTCAAACACAACGTAGCCCACTTTGAAACCCTGGAAGGAACAAACACAAAACATTTCATTTGAATTCAGCTGATGCTTTTAACCAAAGTGACTTACAATACACGCAATCAACCATGGAGATAAACTCAGAACAAAAAGTTTCCAGCTTTCAATGAGACAAACTATTTTAAGTGCATTGTCTTCCAAAGAGCCAAATGCTACATAGCTAAGAGATGTTTTTTGTATGTGTTTGTTATTGTTACGGACTCTGTTTTCTATCTGCTCAGTCATCTGTCTGTGAGTGTTTTCAGCGGTGCGTGTGACATGTAAATGAGCTGTGCGGTAGCCCTGACGTCATTGGCTGCCCATTTCCTGGTCCGCCTCCTGGGGATTGTGATTGGAGCATGCCGGGCCCGACGCGCTCCAATCGCAGCGCACAGCCGGCGCACACCTGCTGCAGATGACTACAAAGCCTGAGGACAACTACCACTCTGGAGGCTCTGTGATGTGGGACAGACGCCTCTAGCGTACTTTATTCGTTTGGTTGACGTTTAGTGCTTTTGTGTCCTGTGTTAAAGTTGTACTGTTTAGCAGCGTTTCTGTGTTTAGTTAGGTACTGTGGAAGATTGTGTAAATAGGATCCAGGGACGCTTAGCGGTTAGCGCCCGTCGATTAGCAGCAGCTGTGTTTTTGTGCAGCCTTTTCAGTTACTTGTACCACATTTAACGTGAGGTTTTGTTTCCCTTTTTGGGTAATACTTATTACGCTGTATAATCTGTATAACTCTCTTTTGGAGTTCTCTTTTTGTTGATTGCTAAACAATCCGTATTTGGCACTTTGTTTGTGTCAGGCTGTATGCCTTTATTATTTTGTCACCACTATTTAATTATAATAAACCCTTGTAACTATTACCAATTCCAACTGCTGTGTGTTGTTCCTCTCTACCCCTAGAGAGGGGCGTAACAGTTATCATTGGCCACAGTGCAGAGGAATGGGAGGGTTTTCTGTCGGCAAACAGAAGATATGTAGTCTTTCTGCTGTCCTGGTATCAATAGAGAGCTTGTTTCAGCCACATAATTACCCTTAAAAATGCCGTATATGATAGTGGATGTTTTCTCATTAGAGCAGAAAGAGCTGCTGACCTGTTTGGCAGCTGGTCTGAAGAACTTGGATATCTTGGGTCCAGAGTCCTGAGCTAATGGACCCGGATTGTCCATCAGCTCCACGGACTGAACAGAACCGAACTGAGAGAACATCTGTTTGGCAACATCCTGAAACACAGACAGTAGCATCGCAAGAAATACTTTATTTAAAGGATAATACATTTTCATATTAAGAAATCATCTAAAAGCAGAGAGTGGTGTAAAATAAGTACATTTACTCCACTACAAGTCAGTATTGAGTTAAATATTGTACTTTTACTACACTAAATGTATTTAATACCTTAAGTCATTTTGCAGATTTGGACTAATAATAGTATAAAACACAGTTATTACTTAGTAAGAGTTGTTACACCTGGAGAAAATTGACAAACAAACAGCATTGAATAGAATAATACAAATTACTTCAACCTATACCAGCTTTGATAACACTTTAATGATCAATAATTAGATATTAGACATATGTATTATTCTGAAATAGACCAATCTGCACAATGACTACTTTTACTTTTGGTACTTTTTGGTACTGGTATTTTGATGCTAATAATTTTCTACTTTTACTTGAGTAACATTTTGAATGCAGGACTTTTATTGTAACATAGTATCCCTACACTCTGGTACTTCTACTTTTACTCAAGTACAAGATCTGAGTACTTCTCCCACCTCTGAAGCACACATTGTTTGTTAAAACTCTGCACACTGTTTCTATAATACCTCTGAGCAGTATGGAGGGATGTTGAGCACAAACAGCGTCCGGTCCATCGGTCTGTGTGAGCTCCGGTCTGACCGGACTTTGTGCTCCTTCACGTACAGCTTGTGTTGAGCAACACTGTCTGAATTGAACTGTACAGGCAGCACTGAGAAGAGACACAGGAAAGTTAAATTAAAGCCAACACAATTAGACAGTAACTCTGTATCAACAGGCAAACAGACGAACATGTAATACACACTCAACCCGTGTAAAACGGCAAGAACACTTCAAGTCAGAGATGTAATCACTATTTTAGGGGAAATTTGATAATAATATAATGAATTGTGATGATAAATACCTGTAAATCCTCCAGGAATAACACAAGCCTGGTTACTAGCATGTTTCTTCTCGGACGGCGCCATTTTGGAATGACCTCTCACACCGGAAGTAGAATTAAAACGAAGTGCGTAGCGAAAAATAAAGTGTTTTAAAATAATAAAATAAATACTTCTAATGAATAAAAGCATCAACCACTTCTTATTAAAACATTTTACAAATATTTGGGATATGCACCAGTGATCTATTCAAGATTTAAAAAAATAAAGGTAATTCAGATGCAATAAATATGTATATATAAGTGTTATTACTTGTAGATTTTTTTACATGAAAATGCCAAACCAAATACAACTGTATTACCATTTCAGGAGCAATCATAAATATTTTACCAAAAATAGGAAATTATCTGCTGCTGAAACTATAGTAACTACAGAAAAGCAAGTTTACGGAAACTTCAAGCTTATATGATGCCATGAGATTTTGCTGAAGAGACCCAGGGGCGGACTGGTATGGCAAGCCATTTGAGTATTTATTCCATATCCTTGATATCACACGGCAGCTGCCTACACTAGTTGGCTATTTGATTTCACTTGTTAGATGATCAAACTAGTTTGTCACTCTGCTTTAGTTGAATAAAACATTACACTCACTCTTTTTCAGCAACTGGCACTTTTGTCCGACTAGTTACCACATAAGCCTTACTAGTGACGCCAGGAGCAGCACTTGTCCCACAGTCCCAACTTGTAAGCTTTTTGATGAACTAGTGACCCTCTGACCGTACTAGTGACGCTAAAAGTCAACTAGTGCACTGCAAAAGCTCTGACATGTTAACTAGTTACAAAAAAGAAGCATAACTAGTTAACTAGTGGCATACATTTGTCTGCACTAGTTAACTAGTAGCACCCAGAATCACTCACTAGCAGTGGCGTTTTCTCCTGGAGGCCAAGGGAAGCCAGGCTTCCCGTTTTTTTGGATTGTAGTTATAATTTTAATAAATAAATAAAAACACTTCATTTAGTTTCAGAAATTCTTTGTTGTGTGTTTCTGCCGGCCCGTCTCTCCCCCATTCTCATTGAGTATTTTACAAAGAGTGAAACAGCGCCCCTCTAGATGTTATGGTGAAACAGTAGATTGCACTCTCTGTTGCGAGAGGAGGCCAGCAGAAACTGGCTTCCCTTGGTTGGTGCAGCGCCATATAGACTATCTATATGGCGCTGCCTTGGTGAAAACAAATGGAGGGATTGACCAATCAGACAAGGCTAACGTCATGCCCCTGCCAACCTGTGATTAGTCAGGGCCAGCGCCATATAGATAGTCTTCTATATACTTACTTATATACTTACTTACTTTGAAATCATGCGGAAATGTCGTCATCAGCAGGCCATCACGTGGTTTCCGAAAATCACCGAGTGACACGAGTAGATTTTAGCCGAGACCGGCGGAAAATATGTCTCAAAATTCCGTGTGTGTAAAAAGACGATCCACAAGCAGAAATGTGAGATCCACGAGCAGAGATTTGAGATCCGCAAGCGCATTTTTGGTCGGCAAATACAAAATGGATTCACAAATGCCTGATCGAAAGTTGTCAATGTTAAAGAGATAATCACAGATCTTTTTTTTATTTGTGAAAATATTTAGCGTATTTGCAGATCCGTTTTACACTTGCACATTTATTTGTGAGTTTGCAAATCTTTTAAATGCATTTGTGGATGGAGTTTTACATTTACAAATCACATATTTACACACAAATTATTTTTATGTTCACACAAATAATTATGAGACATATCTATGCCCATATTAAATACACTGTGTTTTAAAATACAGTCATATGACCATATTTACAGAAATATAAAACAACAGTATTTTTGTAATTATGATCATATGACTTTATATCAAATTAGGTAAGAACATTGAAGACTTTCTTAACATTAGAAAGTTGCCTTAGGACTGCAGAGAGGAATATAGATCCTCTTTAAAACATTTTATTAAGCTGCAATTTGAAAGGTGCTTGGATTAGAATGGCATTTGTCAAGCAAGAGCTTGCAAATAATATCATACGTTATTATACGGTTACATGCCGATTTACAGAAGCACGTTCCCCATAAACTACATGTCCCACAACGCATCTCGTTTTGTGACATGCGCACTGAAGAGACTTGCAATGATTTGCCCTGGGTACTACACGCTACCAATCGCAGCTGTGGAGACATTGGTATCGTTGTCTCTTTGTAGGACACTGATTTAAATTATTCTTAAACTATGATTTTTATGCTGTGTATGTAATTTATGTCATTATATGTAATGTCTTGTATCTGGACCTCTATGATCTGGACCCGTCTGTAATAAAGTTGATTGATTGATATATCACGTTTGTTTTTAAAGATGAATGATTTTATTTATGAAATGTTGAGCACATCAGTACAGTCCAGTTTCCAGTTAACCTCATAACTAAAAACGGTAATATTAAAGGTCACCTATCATGCTATTTTTAGGCAATAGCATAGGTCTCATTTTCGTGGCTATTTCATTTTATATGGTAATATTAAAGTTGATGTATTACATTTTTTTTTAACTACAAATATAAATTGAACAGCTATGGTTGGTTTATAGAATCGAGAAATTCAAATAAACTAAAAGATAGTAGGAAAGAATAAATGCTGTTAATCAATAAACCATTTAGTCTGGTTTCTAGAAGAATGCATTTCATCCTTCATCACATGGCAGGAAAGACTCAGACAGCAATCTACAAAGCTAGATATTTAATGCTGACATTTCACAGACAGATCTGATCGCTCCAGACTTACATACCAAGAAAGCAATTTACAATCTTTGAACAAAAATCTTGTGTAATGTATACTAGGAAGAATTATACGCATACTGCTTTCTTTACTGGACAACCAAGTAAAATCAATCACAAACGCAGCACACAGGAATCTCGATGCTACAAAGACGGTAAATAAAAAATAAAACACAATAGGACTGTTTGAAAACTGGTTCACGGAAAACCTGTCGTTTTATGAACATCTGTGATTAACCCACATTGAATGTCTGCTTAATTCTCTGTTCAGAAAAGGTACAGACAAACCTGAACGCAACTGTATGGACGAGCCTTACACAAAATGTATCCCTAATTTAGTATTCAAAAAAACGTATCCAAATGGGCTGGTATTGCATTGACAGAAAAAAAATCCCAATATAATAATGATTTGGCATCCCCCAAGACATTGGATTAAACAACAAATCACATCACACTTTCCTTCCACTAATCAAGAACAAATATTATCATCATGTTGTGCATCCACAAAATGTCCCGTCTGGAGAAGTCACGTTTATCAAATGTGTAAAAACCTGTTTCGCATTAGTAGAATGTGGGCGTTTGTACGAGAACACTGAGAAAGCAGTAATGTGTGAATGAACAGACACTGGATCTATATCTTGATGCGGAAGGCGGTGGCCTGTGCGCTGGGGCTCTCGCTGGAGGAGCTGGACTGAGAGGTGGACTTGAACAGAGCTTTGAGGATCGTCTGAGGATCCACTTCGGGGGTCGGCTGAGAGGAGGCTCGCTGTCCCGCGGTGCGAGACATGAGGGAGGGGGGGAGGCCGTCTTTCTTTGTGCCGCTGCTGCTGGCGCCCGGGGTGTCACTGAGCCTCCTGGAAGAGCACAAAAAGACATAAATATATATATATATATAACCCATATACAGGGTTCCTGCAGGTTTCACCAACTCAAATGTAAGACTTAAGACCTTTTTAAGACCACTTTGAATAGAATTTAAGACCTATTTCACGGCAAGAAAGTATGAAGGAAAATTGCTATGAAAGAAGAAATACGTCCCATAATTACTTACAAAGTAAATGTATTCATGTTCAACATAAGAACGATGACTGAACATAACAGTCACTGAACTGTGTTAGCGTGTTAGACAAAAAGTGTGTGTGTGTGTGTGTGACAAGAGCTATAGTCAGAGCTCTGCTGCCTTCATGCTGTTGTATGATTGGTGTTTAGCTACGGTATTTAGCGTCCATAGCACCTCCGCTTTTAGGGTTGACGTAGACCCAAACGTCACCCGGAGGTCCCCCGATGTTGTTGCGGGAGCTGCTGCACTAGCTAACGCTACATTAGCAAAACAAACACTAATTTTCTCTGCAAAAGGTGCAGCGGGCTACACACACGTTCCCCATCACTGGTTTCAACCAAGCACTACATTCGATGTTTTCCAACCAAATACGGTTGAACTTAAACTCCATATTTATTTGTAAGTAGATTCGAAGATACCTCATTTCTGACTGCCGCTAGCTGAAGCTTGGTTGCTAGGTTACTAGCTGGGTGTTCTCCGACAAGGTTACTTTGCAGCCCGGACATTTCCCCCAAAACACATTTAGACGCGATCGCAACACAGAAGCACCTTTCAAATCCCATCATTTTTAAGACCTTCTAAATCATATTTAAGACCTTTCTTATTTTTTTGATCAGATTTAAGACCTTTTTAAGGCCTTCAATTCTGATTATCACATGTAAGACTTTTTAAGACCCCGCGGGAACCCTGGATATAGTGTTTCTGTGAGCTGGTTATTAAACTGGTATGAGGTGGTACAGGACTACACATGTTATGCTCCTAATGGCTTTCGTTTTTGTAAAGCACTTTGAATTGCCTTGTGTTGACAGTGCTGTATAAATAAACGTGCCTACATGTATGTTGGTTTAGCCTTTCATAGTGTTTATTTGTCAGATAGTGTACAGATTGTTATCTTTCACGGTCAACTTGTATAGATTTTCTTTTTAGTTCTGTTTTCTTTTCTCTTTTGAGATGTTTCTACTCTTATTTTCCCAGTTTGTGATCAATAAAGTATATCTTACACGTTTTTATTCTGTTCAAATGTAGATGACAATATGTAGGCTAAGAGCTAAGTTGATTTCTTTGCCTAGTATTTATTTGTTTTTAGCGTTATGCAGGAGTGTAGTGACAGGACAGGATCCATTTGAAAGCCTACTTTTTAATAACACATACATGCCTTCATATCAGTTGTTTTTAAGCTCATACTGTTTGATTCATTTCTCTCATTTGTCCAGGGATATTGAAATGTCCCGGACACGCTGACCGGCAACAACATCATCTTTGTTTAAAAAAATGCAGTGACAGTTGCAATCAGAGATGCAAACTCATCAGGTATGAAAAAGGTGACAAGGATCCGAGCCCCCCGACCCCACGGAATATCGGCTTTAAAATTAAGAATAACAGGATGTTAGCAGTCAGAACAACTAAAGCAGCAGTTAATAATAACAGAAACGCTAAAGAGTTACATCTAATAGAAATATATAAAAGCATTTATTTTAATTGTGTAGCAGTCAGTTTATCATTTTGGCAGCACTGTTGAGCATTTTGAAAATCTATTTTCATGCCTCTGTCTTTCTATCTGTATAGCCAGTGGTGTAAAGTAACCAAGTTCATAAACTCAACAAGTACTGTACTTGGGTACAATTTTGAGATACTTGTACTTTATTTAAGTATTTCAATGTTTTGCTACTATGTTCTTCTACTCCTCTACAGTTCAGAGGTAAATGGTGTACCTTTACGCCACTACATGTATTAATACCTTTAGTTACTTTACAGATGTGGATGAAAGATGTGAAATCTAATCAAGTGTTGAATCAGACTTTAGTTCCACCTGGAGTAAATCCACAAGCTACCCTGCAGTATACAAAGTCATTCAAACTAGCTGCACCTTTACCAGCTTTGAGAACACTTTCATGATCAATCATTATAAAACATATCATATATATTATTCTGAAATGGACCAATCTGCACAATGACTACTTTTACTGTCGATACTTTCACTATATTTTGATGAGAATACTTTTCTACTTTCACTTGAGGAACATTTTGAATGCAGGACTTTTACTGTAACAGAGTATTCCTACACTCTGGTACTTCTACTTTTACTCAAGTACAAGACCTGAGTACTTATACTTTTACTAAAGTACAAGATCTGAGTACTTATACTTTTACTAAAGTACAAGATCTGAGTACTTCTACTTTTACTGTCGCTACTTTAACTATATTTTGATGATAATACTTTTGTACTTTTATTTGAGGAACATTTTGATTGCAGGATTGTTCCTACACTCTGGTACTTCTACTTTGACTCAAACCTGAGTACTTATACTTTTACTCAAGTACAAGATTTGACTATTTATACTTTTACTAAAGTACAATATCTGAGTACTTCTACTATTACTCAAGAACAAGATCCGAGTACTTCTACTTGTACTCAAGTACAAGATCTGAGTACTTCTACTTTTACTCTAGTACAATATCTGAGTACTTCTACTTTTAATCAAGTACAAGATCTGAGTACTTCTACTTTTACTCTAGTATAATATCTGAGTACTTCTACTTGTAATTAAAATATACGAGTGGTTTAGTTTGAGTTAAGATCGAGTGCAGAGGAAACAGAGTATGTGAAGTAAGTACAGATCAATGTGAAATGAACAATGAAGCCTGGTGGGCTCACTTACAATAGAATGGGCTGATCAGAAGTGATGACATTGCCCTGAATATGGAGGTTACACTTCATGGGTTGACCTGAGGGAGAACAAGAAGACAAGATAAGAACATGTTCAAACTCTATAAAGCTTGATAATGGCAGTCTCTGTGATACTAAGTACAGGGTTTCTGCAGGTTTCACCAACTCAAATTTAAGACCTTTTTAAGACCACTTTGAATAGAATTTAAGACCTATTTCACGGCAAGAAAGTATGAAGGAAAATTGCTAGGAAAGAAGAAATACGTCCCATAATTACTTACAAAGTAAATGTATTCATGTTCTGTATGTGTGTGTGTATGTGTGAGTGACAAGAGCTATAGTCAGAGCTCTGCTGTCTTCATGCTGTTGTATGATTGGTGTTTAGCTACGGTATTTAGCGTCCATAGCACCTCCGCTTTTAGGGTTGACGTAGACCCAAACGTCACCCGGAGGTCCCCTGATGTTGTTGCGGGAGCTGCTGCATTAGCTAACGCTACATTAGCAAAACAAACGCTAATTTTCTCTGCAAAAGGTGCAGCGGGCTACACACACGTTCCCCTCCACTGGTTTCAACCAAGCACTAAATTCGATGTTTTCCAACCAAATACGGTTGAACTTAAACTTCCCCATATTTATTTGTAAGTAGATTCGAAGATACCTCATTTCTGACTGCCGCTAGCTGAAGCTTGGTTGCTAGGTTACTAGCTGGGTGTTCTCCGATAAGGGGCCGGGGGAAACAAAGTTAGTGATTACTGGTTCCATGTTGATTTACTTCAATACAGATTGTTGGGGGGAACTGAAAGGCTCTTACCGTACTGGTTACTTTGCAGCCCGGACATTTCCCTCAAAACACATTTAGACACGATCGCAACACAGAAGCCCCTTTCAAATCCCATCATTTTTAAAAGACCTTCTAAATCATATTTAAGACTTTTCTTAATTTTTTGATCATATTTAAGACCTTTTTAAGGCCTTCAATTCTGATTATCAAATGTAAGACTTTTTAAGACCCCACGGGAACCCTGTAAGTAGGTCAAACTTGGAAAATGAAGTCCTAAATCAGAAAACTCCACCCTTTAGTCATTGACAGAAGCCAGTGAAAACCCAGAGAGCCATTTAAAGTGCATCCTTGCTACTGGCACTCACCGTCCAGGCAGCGGTTGTTGTACTTCCTGTATGCGCTAACGGCGTCATCTTTACGCACAAACACAACCTCGGCCACGCCCACCTTTGCCAGCCGCGCTCTCTTCAAAGCCCCACACACACAGAACAGTTCCTGAGGACGAACGGATGAGAACAAACACACTTTAAAAGAGTGATCAAAGCACTACAGCACTTTACTCAATAGCAAATGTACCAAAAAGTGATTGGCAGTTATTGAGATGAACTCACCACTATGTCTTCCTCAGTGACGCGGGGGTGCAGGTTGTTCACCGTAATTTTGGTCCCTTCCAGAGGACTGAAACTTGGCTGGAAAAAATATAACATCTCATTATCAAGCACAAAAAAGGCAGACATCAATTAATCTGAGCAAGCACTGTGGTAAGGTTGTGCAAAATGCAAAGATAGTCATGTTTGCCGTCATTACAGCTACAGCTTTGAACGTCTTGCCACGTGCCAAATGCAGATTACACTGAATATTACGTTTAGCTGCGGTCAATCTACAAAAGATAGGCAAGTTTATTTATATAGCACTTTTCAACACAAGGCAATTCAAAGTGCTTTACAAAAATGCAAGACAGTAAGAGCATAAAACACATTAGAAGCATTAAAAAGCAAAGATAATAAAACATGAAAAGTTACAGTGCAGTGTAAGATGTGAATAGTTCAAATAAAAGCAGAGGCAAAAAGAAAAGTCTTCAGCCTGGAGTAGTCAGAGTTGCAGCGGACCTGCAGGTTTCTGGGAGTTTGTTCCAGTATCCCTCACCAAATTCTCACATAAAGGCATGGTGTGCATACTGATAAATGCTTACCTGTGGGGGGGCGGGAGCAGGGGGGCAGGTTTCTGCTGAGCTCTGCTGCAGAGTCCTGGAGACGGGCTTTAGGGCTGCAGCTGAGGGCCGCCCGGCAGACATGCTGGGGTTCGGTCGGGTGGGGGCCACGGGGGCAGGAGGGCGGGAGGGGGCCGTGTACGAATCATTTTGAACCACCTTGGTGATCGGACCTGACATGGAGAATGTGGAGCCCATTGTTCCAGGCTGTGTGAAGGAGAGGAAGTTCATTTCAAGCAGGAGACAGACACTCATGTAGCAAAAACACAATCATTCATTTGGTCTGTGTGCTGATTCAGACCGAGTGCAGCTCTTACCCGTGACTTGAGCATATGATTAGCTGAAGCCATCTTTACTTGTTTATTGTGGGGGCCATCGTGCTCATCTGAGAGAGGCTGTGGGAGACAACAAACATTTGAATACCATGTTTACCAATCTTAGTCACGACTCTCTTTCAGAACAATGTTTTTCTTAAAACATGCCAAGAAAAACACTCCACCTGTGTATTTGACCGTATTCCACTTGACAATCCGACTCCCATTGGACGTTGCTGTAAATAAAAGGCATCAAATATTAGAACACAGCATGTCAGTGTGCTTCTACGCTTCATCAAGTCTATGCAAGCTGTCTCACTTGCATGTATATTCTAGACACAATAGGCCTATATCACTTCGTTTGGTGTCATAAACAGCTTACTTTTAAATACACATTTCCTATCAGATTACACTAGCCCATTGAAACAATCCACAGAAAGAAGGGAAACGACGAGATAGAAAGAGCCGTTTGATTCTAAGAAGAGTGTCACTTACCTGGATGGTCTTGGTTATTTTGAGGGGGTGTTCAAAATCTGCCTGTGTCGGTGTCCCTCCAATGTTCCTCTTGAGGCTCAGTCTATCCCGAGCATCCATCACTCTCTTATTAGTGCTCAGCTGTGGCGACGCGCTGCCCCTCAAACCAAGTCCTTGTGCAGTCGGGTTAAACTGCCTCGAGTTCAGACCGGCCAGATTATAGTTGCTTTGTATCTGCATCTGTGGCACAAATGTCTGGCCCTGCAGATGTTGTGTTACTGCCATCTTTGGCATTGTCTGTGCAGGGACAGCGAACAGATTTGGCCCCTGTTTGCGTGAGTTGATCATCTGCCGAGCATCCTGCACCCCCCCTCCTCCTCCCCCTCCTGCTCCTCCCCTGCCACGGATTTTAAAGCGAGCATCCTTCTGAACCAGCTTCTCCCTGGCATCTTTCACTTGAAATCCTGAGGGATCAAATGTTGAAAATTAGGAGCGAAAGACGTATAAATCCTCTAAACTTGATTTGTTTTTTTACTTAATATAAAAAAGGCATGTGATTTCAGCCAATGATGCCATTACCTGCTCCTGGTCCAAGCCGCTGTCGGACATCATTAGCCCCAATCTTCTGGCGAGCATCAAAGCTTTTGCCAACCGCTCCTGCACCTCTTCCAAACATTGGTCTGACACACAGAAACACAAAAGTTTATTTAACTTAATCAATGTTCAAGCAAAACCCACCAGGATTCTGAAGACAGGGCTTTATTCAACATTTTAAAGTTCATGAAAACTCACGTGAAAAGTTAAATAGAAGAGTTTTAATTTGTATTTGAATGCTGAAAGAATGTGTTTTGTCGCCCAGGAAAGGGAAAACACATTTAAGAGCAGTCATATCGGGCCCTGCTATTTACACAAACAATTCGAGTATATATATATTCATCTGTACTTTCTCACACAATAGTGGAGGAAGGACAGTGTGTATACGTTTTAAACAATTGTCTGAACAAGCCACCACCCTAGTTTAACCTAGTGATTGTACCTAGAGTAAAAGCTAGCTTAATTCATATTAGCTTGCAAGCTAGCTACACCTGGCGAATGAAGCTACAAAGACAAGCTAACTCGTCACAAGAGTTTGTGTTGGTGCGACTTAAATACGTTTTGTAGGATTTTCCTGAATTGACCCATATTCAGAGGTGGGGCAAGTACTCCTATATTGAGTACAATTAGAAATACCAGAGTGTATGAATACTCTGTTTCAAGTGAAAGTCCTGCATGCAAAAGGTTACTCAATTAAAAGTACAAAGGTATTGGCATCAAATATATACTTAAAAGTACCAAAAGTAAAAGTACTTATTATACAAATTGGCCCATTTCATAATAATATATATATATATATATATATAATGTTTTATCAAAGATGGTAACGGTGCAGCTAGTTTCAATTACTTTGTATGCTGAAAATGTACGTAGTTACTTCACACCTCCGCTCATATTTTATACATTTATCAGTGAATGCTTCGGAGAAAAAGGCCTACAGCTAAAATATACATCGTAGCCAAGCTAGCCTTTAGCTTACTGTTAGCTTGCGGTATTTTACCAACAATAAAAGCTCTCAATTCACGTTATTGCTTAAGAAATGTTACTACAAGCTTCCTTGTCCTTGATAAACAAATATTTATCAGCTCGTGGATGTGTTTTCTTACCGTTTCGCTGGTGCCTTAAGGTTAATACCGCGCTGTCGTATAACTTCATCCAGGGAGACGTCTGCCATTTTCTAACACAGCCTCACTGCGCATGCGTATAGGATACGATTTTCGCTGGCGCTACGGTAAACGATTTGGGCCAGAATGCGAACACGGTTTTCGAAACTCACTTTAGTTGTTTTGTATTTAAAATCATTATTTACTGATCATGTATTCACTTATAACTGTTACATGTAAATTGATTGGAAGAGCATTAAGATTTCACAGCAAAACCACTGCCCGTGTGATAAAAGAATATTCTGCGATTGATTGCTCTTGACTAACAGCAAATGAGATAATGGTTGCACTACCCATGAGCCTTTGCGCGATATTGTCACAAAAAATGTGGATTGTTATGTGCAATAAATATACTTCACTGTCTTTAAAACTTGTAATTAACACAATCAATTCACACAAATTACTAACACACACAATGAGTTGTTGGTGGAAGTGAAAATAATATGTTGCCAATGAGCAATGGTTGACACCGTGATCCAGAACACCCGGGCATTGTGCTTAGTCCCGTCTTCGACGTTTGACTATTTATGCCTTAAACTGATGAGTAAGGAAAATAACGACGCGGGGTGACGCCCGTGTCCTCGTAAACATAACGAGAAGAATTTTTGAAGGGGCAAAGGTCTGCTTACTGAGGTGACTCGCCTACTTTGTGAGATGCCTCGTAGGTCTAGGACCTTCCCCGTCTCCTAAACTGTAAAAAGTAAGCAACAATCTACAGGAGCCGTGTGGCACAGCGTATGTGTTCGGATTAGGGGGGCACAGATTCAAACACCACTGCAGACAGCATGTCGTTGTGTCCCTGAGATACTTCACCCCAAATTGCTCATGTGGGGATTGCCCACAGTATTGAGTATGTAAGTCGCTTTGGATAAAAGCGTCTAACAAGTATCATGTAATGTACAGGACATTTGCGACCTTATGTTGGGATAGTTCATTTGGCAGACAATGTGTATGCAAGATGTTTTTCACACTAATTTACCTAAATGTAACATACAAGATTATTACATACTAGAAACAGGTAACAGTATGTATGGAAGTAGCCCCTGTAATACACCAATGGGAAAACAACAACATAAAATACCACTTAGTTGATCCACGATAACAGCACCATGATGCAGGGTAGCCTTCGCAACTTGTTGTATACTTCACATCCTAGAGCAGAGGCATTGCTTTTGCCAGATGGTTTTATAATGTTACCTAAATATGTTCTACTAGGTTTCACAGAAATAGCCCTAAAATAGGCTAATTTCGTTAATAGTTTAGTTAGTTTTGTTTTATCAGATAATACAATCACTTATATTACCGTATAAGTGATTGTACTGCTCCTCCTATGGGTTAAATGCAGACAACGCATTTCACTGTTTGTGCTGTGTGCTCTACATGTGTGACCATTAAAGAGGGTTTCATCCCTCCGATTCTATGTCTATGTATTTTAAGTAAGAAAAATATGGTACAAACAAATAAACAGTCCCTTTATTCTTAGTACTGCCCTCTTTCATAAGGTAAACTACCATTAAAACATGTTCTGTATAGTGTCAGGACCGCAAAATATGGAAAACTAAAAATACTTTTGTGTATAAGTTATATGTGTAGTTTAGATACAGATTTTCCTCAATATCATCTCCTGGAATTACATCTGCATATTGCTTCGTTTTTTATATCACATTTGCTGTATTGTAAACAACAAACAAAACAAAATATTTGAAAAAAAGCATGGCAAAATAAACAAAAACAAAAAACTCCATGTTCCATGATGCAGCGGGGCAGCTCTAACCTGCTGCGCGGTGTTTCTCTTCAGTTGATTATCACCGACCGCTGCCTCTCGTCGCTGCCTCTCGGATCCGTTAGAGGAGAAATGGCTGCAGCACTGTCCCGTGCCCTCAAATTACCCGGTAAGATGCTCTGTGTGTATTCTACATGACCAGAAAAACATTTAAAAACAGACATTAGCGAAACATGTCTCAGTCAGGAGGACTGGGTGTTTATGTCTTGCTCCTCTGCTCAAAAACCATTGATTCATTTGAAGCACTGATTTGTCTGCACTGCACGCATTTGTTATGAAATAAACCCAGATGAATGCACATGTTTTCGCCAGGTTTTCGCACATGATGTCATTCAAGATTTGTGTGTGTTGACATCTCTCATTCAAACCGTCACTGCTGGGTTCTGACCTAGGTTCTGACTCTTAGCCTAGCTGCTAGCTGATGTTGACCTAAACACACCGAGCTGCTGCTGGAAGGCTAAACAAGCGATGAATGCTAACAAAAACTATACGTGACGTCACGAGGAAACACGTTAGTATATATATACTAACATGACGACGTCGCAAGTAGTGATGTGAATTAGCACTAGTGTTTTTATAGTGGTATTTTTTGTAGTATTTTTCCAAATTATTATTGGTACTGGCTGCTTTTTCACTCCTTTTTATTATGGTGCTGCGTTTTATTTTAAACATGGGAGTGTACTTTTGTGTAATACTTTGTTATTTCAATGTTATTTACTCCAAAATAAGGTAAACATTATAAGATGTATAAGAAGCCTAGTTGTAGTATTACATTGTTTTTAGTGTCCTATATAACGTCCTTTCAGGTTTTCAAATTACACATTTCTAGTTTAAGTTCCTATGTTTTTATATACATATTTTATTTTTATTTTATTCTAAAAGGTAGAATCTGTCACAAATCACAATTTCCCCGCTGGATAAGTAAAGTATTCGGATTGTAATTCTGATAAGCCAAAACATATTAAGATATAAATAAAATACTCTTTTTAATTCTGTTCAATATTATATAGAATTCCTCCACTCATCTTATTTTAATCTTTTAGCTGCACTGTCCCTTTTGCTATAAATGTCCCCACTGTAGGACAAATGAGACAAAAATGACATGAAAAAAAGTGTATATATTGGAACTAGTGATGTGAATTAGCTCCAGGGTTCCATAGTGGTATTTTAAGAGACCACTGCAGCATTATCAGTTTCTCTAGTTTTACTATTTATAGGTATGTGTTTGAGTAAAATGAACATTTAAAAACAAAGAATTCAATAAACAACTGGTTGACACCGTGACCCAGAAGACCCGGGCCTTGTCTGTAGTCCCGTCTTTGACCAGTTACTACTTATGCCTTAAACTGATGAGTAAGGAAAATAACGACGCGGGGTGACGCCCGTGTCCTCGTAAACATAACGAGAAGTATTTTTGAAGGGGAAAAGGTCTGCTTACTGAGGTGACTCACCTACTTTGTGAGATGCCTCGTAGGTCTAGGACCTTCCCCGTCTCCTAAACTGTAAAAAGTAAACAACAACAATCTACAGGAAACTTGAGACCCCCACATAAAATGTGTATGCCAGATTTGTTTTTCACACTAACTTACCTAAATGTGACATATATGATTATAACATGGATACAGGTAACAGTATGTATGGGAGTAGCCCCTGTAATACACCTATGGGAAAACAACAACATAAAGTACCACCTAGTTGATCCACGATAACAGCACCACGATTATTTTTTTGACTCACCTACTTTGTGAGAGTAGGACCTTCCCCGATCCCTAAAATATGAACAAAGCGAACCATTTTAATTTCAAGGGAAGTAAAATGGTATTCCTAGTGTAAATGTTTGAGTACCAAGGGGAAGTACTTTGGAAAAATGTGGAATTGGACACTAAGTCCTTACCTACAGAGGAGGAAAACTATTAGTAGCCACAGTTAAGGGATCACAACCTATTCTTACTGTAAGTGTTTTTAAGATCGCCCTCAGCATCCTCTGTAAGAGGACTCATCTCTAATGCATCAGTATATGGATTAATGGGATCTATTATTGAGACCATATGAGTATTTGTGTATCAACATTATTTTTTTATTACTTTTTTACGCTGCTATGGACAATCTTGCACTAATGTACATTCCCAAAGATATCGAAGTGACTGTTATTTTGTATATATTGATTGTTGTGTTTTTATCTTAAAGGTGGGGTAGGTAAGTTTGAGAAACCGGCTCGAGATACACTTTTTGTTATCTTCCATGGAATGCTTTTAACATCCCGATAGCAATGAATATCTAAAGTGCTTTGACAAAAAATCCATAAAGAAATGTCATCTCTGGAAGCCGTAGTGCTGTAAAAAGCACGACCAATCATCTGAGCCGGCCCGGCTAAAGTAACTGGATGGCCTACCTGCCTGTCAGCCTTCCATCTGTGCACAAACTTATCTCGTGCCCTCATTGGTCATGTGCGCGTTCGTGTGTCTTGGAGGAGGGGCTCTGTAAGGAAGTCTGACGGAAGTGGTAGATTTGTTCCGGCTGTGTATTTTCAAATTCTAGCGCACTCAAGCTGGTTTCTCCAAAATTACCTACCCCACCTTTAATTTGTGCATATGTATAAATGTGTCTGTTGATATAGGATATACATATTTTATACATATTTGTATTTGGGATTGTGGGAAACGGTATTTTCGATCTCTCTGTCTGTGCACACAAACTGAAAGACTGACAATAAAGTTGACGTTGACTCTGACGTGTCTGTGCAGGGAAGAAGGGCTCGGAGCTGGGGGAGTACGACCCTCTGACCCAGGCCGACAGCGAGGACGAGAGCGAGGAGGATGACCTCGTCCTCAACTACCCCCGAAACGGGCTGGGCAGGGACGGCTGCCTCGGCTCGGGACCCTCCAAGCTGCGGGGGGCCCGATCGGGAAGACTGGTGGGGGCCGAAGATGAGGCTCAAGAGGAGGAGGAAGAGGAGTACGACGACGATGAGTGGAGAGAACGACTGCCCAGCAAATCCAGGCCGGACAGAGAGGAAATGAAAGGCATGCAGTACTGGAGCCACAGAGACCCGGGGAGGGACAGGTCGGGGGAGGACAGAGGGGGGCCCGGGACGTTAGGGGGGGCTGGGACTGGGGTTCACAGTACTGAGGCGGAGGAGAAGAGGATGAGGATGAAGACTGCTATCCGAAGTGCGTTCTTCCTGGTGCCCTTGGTCTGCGCGGCGCTGCTCGTGCTGCTCTGTGCGTTCCTGATCCCCTGTAGGAAGGGAGATCTGGGGAAGAGGCCGACGTGGGAGAGAGCGCTGGGAGACGCCGGAGGTAAAGATGATAGTCAGCCATGTTTTATTGCCTAAATCAGGGGTGTCCAAACTACGGCCCTCAGCAAATTCAAAAAGTATAATGGAGTATGGCCCTCTTGTCTCTTACATGAAAACAGATATCACTAGTAATCACTTTTCAAATTCAGTCAATTCAAGTTGAAAACGTTTTCTAACAAATCTAAGTTGATAAGAAAACAGCCCATAACTTATTTTCATAACAAGCTTGAAATAAACCCTTCCTATTTCCTCTTATGTTAACCAACCTGCTGCTTCTGTTTTAAGGAATGAGCTGCTCACAAAATAATTGAAACCCTCTGGAGAGCTGGGATTTAGGCTGATTAAGCATCATTACCTACATTTGATTGATTTTGCTAACTTATAACTAAGGATGCTCCGATCGCCAATTTTGGGGCCGATGGCCGGAATCAGTATCGGCCGACCGCTCGCCGATCCGATCGAGTGGGCATCAGAAGTGCTGTGCTCCACATGTACCAGCCATTGTTAACCAATCAGAAGTGGCCCATGATAGAAGGTGATAGACAGATTGATCCAATCACCTGTCAAGTATTTTTGAAAGTGCCTGCCCTTTTCCAAATGGCTTCCAATGGAGCTTTAGATGGTCAGGTTAGTAATGCTCCATCACATGTTTTACATCTATTGCAGGGTGAATCTTAAACTGAAGCTTGACTTTAAACTACATGTGTCAAACTCAAGGCCCGTGGTGGATTTAATTTCGGCCCGCAGGATAATTTCGAATTACTATTAGATCTGGCCCGCCGGTATATTGCACGCACACCTTCACTCCATCCTGAGGGTTTCCTCCGCTCAGAGCCTGAGCCCAAACATTGATGAACTTGCACCCAAGATTACTATGGGGATCTTCCATTTAAAGTGATGTGTAAAACTCAGTTAATGGGGCTCATTCACTGGCGCTTCCACAAACAACAACCAACATAATTATTACACTCAAATGAAGTACATTATTCAAGTTTACATTAACTTTGGAGAATAACACGGGAGAAATTAGCGGAAGCGCTCTCTTTTCCTCTATCCCCCTCTCTCCTGACAGCCAGTCAGTATCGTCTCATGCAGCTCACTGATCCAGTAATGAGTGACCCGACAGTGAAGAATAAATATATCAGGGTTCTTACGGTCATTAAAAACCTGGAAAAGTCATGGAAATTCAAAAATCTAATTCCAGGCCCTGGAAAAGTTATGGAAAACAATATTTTTCCCAAAGTTTTGGAAAAGTCATGGAAATGTAACTAAAGTTGCATCAAATATAATTTATATTTTATCTAATCGCCGACATAGTAATACTATAATGATAATAAATACTGTATGGTATAGTAATGAAACGTAAAATGGCATTTAACTGTCGAGGTATTTTGCTGGTGAGAGATTTGAGTTGCTTTAGCATGTAGAAGCTAGTAAGCCTACTATTTGATTTGTTTTAGATAGGAACCGCTGAGAGAGTACTTTGTTGGTCATGGAAAATTAGGTAAAGGTCATGGAGAAGTCATGGAAAATCATTTGTAAAAAAGTGTATGAACCCTGATATATGTATAACTAGTTTAGTTCCAGAGGTAGATAAACTAGCTAAGTGTGTTAGGTCTAACTCTGAGTGTGTGTTGCTCCACTCACCGGTCCGTCACAGCGGGCGGAGCTGCAGGATTTCTGCTTCACACACACCGCTATTTTACTGTCTTTTTCAGACACCTTAAAATACTGCCAGACCGGTGAAGCCATTTTGATGAGCTTGTTCGGCGGCCGATCGATATCGGAGCATCCCTACTTATAACTGAACTGATGAGGCGATAAACCTCTAGTGAGTGGCCCTTCATATATTTGTCTGTATGTGGCCCTCGATGAAAAAAGTTTGGACCCCCCTGATCTGTAATATTTGTTGAGGCTACACATAGGCCTAGTGGCCTTACACCAGTTCTAATCATGGAGGGGTCACTGGGGTCCAAAGTGTCACAGGCGACATTCACAAAATAGATGCAAAACCACCATGGAGTGACCAAAAACAACTATTTGTTCCTCAGTGGTTCTTAAAAACGTAGAAAATCCGGCTGTTTCTCATTCCACACATTCTCAGTGAATCCTGTTCCTGTGTGTCAAGTAATGTGAGTCCTTGAAATTGTGGGAGATGGGCCTGGAAAGTCCTTCCAAACTTCTTGAATTGTAAGGGTTAACCGTGCAAAGAGACATCAGGTTGTTACCAAGAGACACAGATGCTTAACAACTATACAATCTGTGGTTCTTGCTCAAATGTAGGAAAGGTGGAGGGGCCTTTCTCATATCTGTGTCCAGAACCCCATTGTCTCAAAGTCCAGCCATGCTCATAACGCTCACTTTATAAAGACTTACTGGGAGTCTCTGTGGCTAGACACCGCAGACTCATTCATTTGTAAACTGTAATTACACAGGGTTGTGAGAATCAGTCTACCCACCACATGTTCTGTTTCAGCATGCACTAAGAGCATTGTGGAGTGAAAATAAACACAAACTAGACAGGACTGTGTCTTTTAATGACCACATCAGTGTTTGTGACTCTTATGATTCACACATTTGTTCCTATTATTAGTCGTTTAAGCTTCAGTCAAACAGTGGCTGCAGGTGGTGTTCACTTTGTTGTGTTTCTCTCTAGGTGTAACTCCACCGGCGCTGGCGTTATGGGATGTTGACGGGGATTCAGTGGCGGACGTGTTTCTGGGAGTTACTGAATGGACCAATGATACGCATCCAATGCAAGGAAACAAAAGTATGTCACCTATCTTCTTTCCCCTTCTTTGTCCTTATGTTTCAGAATGTTCCTAAGAGTGGTGTAGTCCTAAAACATGAACATTATTTAGCATTTTAGCACGTCCTGGTCCCTTATCCAGCAGTTTTTGAACGAGTCTTTGGTAAGAGGCCTGAATAAGGTCTATGGTTAACACAAGCTTAATATATTTTCTGGTTTTGTTCTACAACATAAAATATTTCCGTAAATACCCAACTGGTGAATATCTCTTAACTTCTCTGTTTAAAAAAACCAGCGGTTGCTAGCAAGTGGCTAAATGAGACTCCCTAGCGTCATCACGCCCAACATTAGCCACCTTTAGCTTAGCGGTGGTGATGTAGTTCCTTTATAGCCTAACGTTAGCTTTGTACTTCTGGCCATTGCATTTACACTTCGAAACTCATGAAGCGGTGTTAATATGTGGAGATGTTCCTGCTGAGTCTCATACAGTTGTTTCTCACAGACCCAGCTTTTTGTCGAGGGAGACCTTTTGACGCTATCTTCCAGGTGTGTTTAGATAAAAACACTCTTTTTATGATGTTCCTTCTTCCGTCCAGTTTACCGCGCGGTGGCCCTGTCTGCGGTCACCGGTCAGACGTTGTGGACGAAGGAGATGCGTGAGTGTGTGATGTACATCCAGTGTGGGCTGCAGTACAGCAGCCAGCCGGGCCCCGTGGTGCTGCTCATCGGGAAGTCCATCATCATGGCCGTCAACGGCACCACAGGTGAGAGACCAGCAAGATACAAAATGTCTGGTTCAAGATCACAGGAGGGGAAGAAGTACTCCATTAAGAGAGGCGACTGGATGTTTGGCAATCCATCCCCAGTTACTAAAACATTTTAGTTTTCTCTTTTCCTCCTTTCGGTAGTTCTTTTTTATTTTATTTGTTGGTAGTATGTTACCCTTGGCCTTTTTGTTTTTGTCTACGATGCTGTCGACTGGCGGCTTCAGACTATTCTCAGGAATTGTCAATGTCATTTCCTCTTGTACGCCATGTGAAGGTTTCGGGTACCTACCTACTGTATATGGTGTATGTCTTTGCTTTATTGTTACTAAAAGAAAAATTCAAAATAAAGTATTTAAAAACTTGATAGGTGTTATCCAACGTGTTTAAAACAGGTCTGATTTCCTTTCTCTCCCCCAGGGAATCAGCTGTGGTTCGTCCTGCTGAAGAACATTGAGTCCCAGGCGGTTTTACTCCCAGACCTGCAGGGCGACTCCGTCCCAGATCTGCTCATCGCCACCCTGCCTGCAGACGAGGTTCCTCTCCCTCTCTGAGTGATTACTTCACAGCTCATGTTTCCACACCTTAGCCTTCAGTGTTCTGCTCTTCTCACTCCCAGGCTCTGGACCTGTCCCTGACGCTGATCTCCGGGCTGTCGGGGGCCACGCTCGGACATCCCGTGCCTTTCAACGTCACCGGACAAGGGAAGCTGATTGGTCCTCTGCTGCATGAGACCCAACAGGGGGCTTACTACATCCTCTTTGGACTAGGTAAAGGAATCCACTAGGGAGGAAGTATCTCTCTAGGCCGACCTGGAGGTTAGCATCTCAAGGGCTCCCTCCACAAAAAGCCAATGGGAGCGTTGTAGTTGAAACGTAAATGCAATGGCTAGCAGTAAAAAGCTAACGTTATCCACATGACTTCACATCACCAGCGCTAAGCTAAAGGCGGTTAGTGATGGGCGTGATGACGTTTAATCGTCTCATTTAGACACTTGTTAAGAACCGCTGTTTTTAAATTCATCAGTGGGGTATTTACTGACGTATTTTAGAACAAATCGTGAACCCTTCTTCAGCTTGTGCTAACCACAGACCTTATTTCAGGCATCCAACCAGAAGAACATTCAAATCCTAATGTCTGGGTTAAGGACTCACTCCTACACCACTCTTGTGTTCAGGCTGTCGTTGGTATTTTGAGGGAATTGATTTATGTAATCTACATTACAAATTAAAGGTGGGGTAGGTAATTCACTTCAGAATCACTTGTTATATTCCATGCAATGCTCTTAACATCCCGATAGCAATGAATAGATTAAATGCTTTGACAATAAATACATAAAAACATTTAATCTGTGGAAGCCGTGGCGTTGTAAAAAGCACGACCAATCATCTGAGCCGGCCCGGCTAAAGTAACTGGATGGCCTACCTGCCTGTCAGCCTTCCATCTGTGCACAAACTTATCTCGTGCCCTCATTGGTCATGAGCGCGTTCGTGTGTGTTGGAGGAGGGGCTCTGTGAGGAAGTCTGAATGAAGGGGTAGATTTTTTTCGGCTGCGTACTTTCAAATTCTAGCGCACTCGAGCTGGTTTCTTCATTCTTACCTACCCTACCTTTAAATACTGAAGATTTTTGTCACTGTCTTTTTCCCTCAGGTAATGTGGAGGCCATCTCTCTGCGTGATGTCTATATGAAAGCTACTGGGAAGATGCCTCTGACTCAGGCTCTCAGCAGGAGGGATCCAGGGTGGGAGGCTCTCAAGAAAACCAACTCCTCGTCCTTCATACACATTTACAGGTACGCACATGGATCTTAGTCACTTAGACTTTGGGACTTAGTGAATCAAAAATATATTGGTAGCGTTTTTTAAGTTGTGGTCAAAATATTGATCTAATGTCAAACTATTTTCTAGGGGAAACATTTTGTTCAATTTCCTAGGTTTTAGGAGTATTATTTACATAGATTTTATTTTCCATTTCTTCAGTTTGTGATTATTTGGGATGTGTTTTTTATTGATATTTGAATATATTTATTATCTTCACATAACAAAATGCTTTGTGGTTTAAGACAATGGAACAGTTTCCTAGGTTGCATACGCAGCGATTAAAAATATATAAGTATATAACACAATTTACAACTGATATTACAGTAATCCCTATATTCTGTGTCTTTCTCCACAGAGGATCTGAGCCGGTGGAGTTCTTGCTCCCTCTGGTGGCCGGTTTTGGGAACAGCCACAACAGCCTGGACCCGGTGTCCAACCTGAACTCCAGCCGGAGTGACTGGGCGCTGGTGTCCGGCAAACTGTCCGGCAAACTGTCCGGCAAACTGTCCAGCAAACTGTCCGTGCTCCGGCAGAAGGACATCAAGAAAGAGTGGACCTTCAACTCGGATCCCATTCACAGGTGAAGCCCCGACACTCACTATGTCACTACTGAGCATAGAGAGATACATTTGTCTTCATTTATGGGGGGTGAAAAGATTGACAATCCATGTAAAACAACACCCATGAATACCAAAAAGAAAATGGAAAATGGAAAAGTAGTAAAAAGGTGTGAATAGTGTATAAGGTGCAAAAACTGGAATAAAAACGAAGTAAAAAAAAAAAATCTATCATATGTTTGAACCACTGAAACCACTGTGTATCGCTATTTTGTGAAATGATCCTAAAATATATCTCTCCGTCTTTCGCAGCCAACCCGCCCCGGGATACTTCAACAGCGATGGAGTCCTGGATCTTTTCATCACGCATGCAACAAATGGCACCATGACGGTAAAACAAACACACCATTCATTCGTACATTAAGACTCAAGCTTTATGAAGGGCTGACATGCTGCTGTCAAACTGCTCTTGTTTGGAAATATGAAGTTGAGAGGATAAAATAACATTAAGACATCTCTAACTGACCTCTTTGTTGTCTCTTATTGTTGTTACTAGGCGCTGGTTGTTGACGGGGACAACGGGCGTCTCCTCTGGTCGGCAAACTTCGTCTGTCCTCGTCTAGTTTTGGAAACTTCTGCAATCTCCACCTCAACCGGCCAATCAGCTTTCCTCTTCTGGGCCAGCGATCCAATCAGAGCTCTGAAAAATGGGACCAAGACAACCGTGAGTCTGCCAGAAAATGCTAACGTATTTCTGGGTTAAGGACTCATTCCTGCACCATATGTTGTTTATTTAGTTCAACCCAATAATGAAACACTCACTGTCAGGGAATAATTTGCCCTGCATGTCCTCCTTCGCCCTCTGACGCAGATGCCCAGCCTAAGGCAGCCGCTATCTCCCATAAGGAGGGGCTGCCCTAGCATGTTGTTGTTGTTACCAGTTTGTGACCGGGCAACTTTCGGTCAGAGATAGTTATTGTTGTGGGACACCTGGAACACATCCTTCTCGGGGTGTAGATGACCCCGAGCCATAAGCGACAACAAATGTGAATCAGTGTCCTCAGCTGTTTAGTCTATTGAAGAATGTTGATTATTACACTCTGAACTAGTTCAAACCTGGAGCTACAGGAGGGCTCTTCAGAATTGATTGTGGCATCTCTACCGTGTGGTCAACTCGTGGCCCGGCCGAACCTCCAAATAAACCGTCAGTGTTTGCCATCAAAGCTCCAGCTCTCCATCGTGTCTCTCTGAGTCCTGTTTCCTATTGCTTCAGAAGTTTCCCCCACACTCACCTGTCCCCTCTGGTCGTGCAGGTGTCTCCAGGTGTAGCTACAGCCGAGCCGCTCATCAGAAAACTCTTCCTGTTGCATCCTGCATATCCCACCATCCTGCTGGAGCTCACCAGCACCACGGACACCGCGGTCACCTCCGCAGGTGAGGGTTAAAGTCTTTTAAAGGGACAGTTCACCCCAAAACGTAGTGCTCAATTCAATTCAAAACCTTTATTTATCCAGGTAAAATCCCATTGAGATCAATGATCTCTTTTTCAAGGGAGACCTGCAAGTGCTATTTATCAATATTACATTTTGGTGTGAGTTGTCAAGGTCCAAGGTTAGTTTATTTGTATAGCACATGTTAAGATACAGAGGCAATTCAAAGTGCTTCACATAGAGATTTATCATATAACACTAACAAAATAAAGACAATTCATAAAAGCGATAAATTACTGGCTGCAGCTCAAAGTGCAATGATAAGGCACGGTTAAAGGATAGCTTTTTTGATCATAATCGTCATCAATAACTCAAATGACCAAGCAGCTGAAAACGATGCCGACATAATGTTCAAGTTAAAGACGCGTTCTACTTCTTATGTTCTCCTGCAGTGAGTTACCAAGAGCGGCAGAAGGACGCCTCCTACATCACGGTCTCCTCCCGACCCACGCCCGACTCAGAGCCCGGCGCCCGGATAGTGAAGAGCATGAGCCTCCGAGCGGCCATCACTACAGGACAAACGATCAGACTGGAGGAGAGCAGCAAGCCCGGGCAGCCCGTGAAACCCAGCGCCTTCGAGATCAACAAGTTCTTCAGGGGGTTGACCTTCAAACGCCAGGTGAGGAAGACACACGTGTGAGAGATCACAGATTGTTTGAGTAATGTGTAATAGAGTGGTGCAGGCAGGGGCGGACTGGCCATCGGGACGTTCGGGACGAATCCCGATGGGCCGGTACTGAAGTGGGCCGGTCGGACAATGTGGGCCGGCCGGTAACCGGCAGGGCTCGACATTAAATGGCCCGCTGGCCCGGAAGCACTATTTAGACACCGGGCCAGCATAACGTACTTTCCACTTGCCCGCTCGGGCCACTAAAAATATTGCTTTAAAAATATTGTCCTGTGGTATTGGTATTTTGACTAGCAATTTAGTTAAATTGTTTCGTTTATCAGCGCTACAACATAGCGTTCCGTGAGTCGGTTGTCGTTGTTGGGTGAAAAGCAAACAGCTGTTTGCTGCGGAGCGCAGCGCGAGCAGGTTCCCGTGAGCGGGAGCGCGCTCCTTCACTACAGACTATCGCGCCACCTAACCATTCGCCAAAATGTTTTTAATACCAGCGGTAACCGGCCAAGCGCCGGGCAAAATCTTCAAATAAAAGAAAGTCACCGGAGGAGTTAAAGGAGAGTGACAGGGAGCATGAGAAGAAGAGGGAGAGAAAGTTTCAGCCAGCTTGATCGATGGAGTTGGCTTCTGGTGGTGCAGTGACGCATCCTAAAACCCTTTTATAATCTATCGATTAGATTTATGATTCGAAAATTATAAAAGTAGGGTAGACATGTGGAGATTATCCAGCTGAACAAAACGTGCATTTATCAAACAGGTTTGTTTTCCACAGACCTTATTTCCAGCTATTTTCCAAAACCCTGTGGAGAAATCCCATTGCTTTTTGTCGAGGGAACCAGCAGTTTACTTCCTGGTTTTAGGACGCATCACTGGCTGCACCTCTCAATATGATGCCAATATAAACAAGGTCTTCTGTCGGCTCTGTACCTCATTGCCGACAAGTAAGTGAAGAGTAGACAATATAAAGGTATTGGCTATAGGGAAATGTCCCAGCAGTTTAGGATAATGAAGGTTCTAATCTAATCAATTACATAGCCATTACATGTCTAACTCCTAATGACAGGAAGGCAGAAAGCGCATTATACAAATAATAATACTCATAATAATAGCAGACATTTTTTAACAATGACCACAATATCATTATTTTAATAAACTAAATATGAACAATTGAGGAAAATGAGGAAGAACTGATGATTCAAATGTTGTAGTAGCCTACAAGTAGTAATGTAGTTAGTGCATAAATTACTATTGCAACAAATGTGTTAATTTTCTTCATTATTAATCGATTTCTATTTTGGACGAATGCTCCGGGCCAGTGGTTACAATGGTGGGGCCAGTGATAATACAAGTCCATTTTATCCTTAATGTCTACCTCTGCGGTAAGTCACTAGCACTCCCATCCCCCTCCCCCCCCCCCCCATCGACAATTTACTTTCAGTATTTACTTGCGGTACTTACTTGCGGTATTTACTTGCGGTATTTACTTGCGGTATTTACTTGCGGTATTTACTTGCGGTATTTACTTGCGGCACCGCGGTGGGCCGGCGGTACCGAAGTGGGCCAGTCGAGAGTCCCGGGCTGATTTGTAGTCCCAGTCCGCCCCTGGGTGCAGGAGTCTTAAAGTCAGACATGAGTGAGCATTAAACCCTTTGAGCTTCTTGTTATAAGCTTGAAATACGGTCTGTGGTTAAAACAAAGGTCATGGAAATTATGATTATCAGAGAATGTAATCCTATGATGTTATTTAACGTATATGCATAAAACGTATACAAAAAAAAGTAAAACAAATCCTACAAGTCCATGTTCAGATAACAAGACAGTTTAATTGTTCATCCTATATATAAATAATAATATTCTGTAAGCCTTACATGTCAAGAGACAGTAGATCTCAGCACTCATAATCAGTCACAAGGTGCCAGTGATCTGATCATGGGTCTATTGATAGGGTCATGGGTCAGTTATCTCCTGACTAAGCGTGTATTCATTGTAACTGTATAAAAGCTCTCTCTTCAGTGTGAGTAGTTGCACTCGGCTGTGGAGACATTGCTCTACATGTTGTTTGCCTCTTTTGCAAAAGATTACAGACTCAGAAGGACATCTCTGTGACGAGTTAATTTCAAGACTTTCCACCAGCTGAGCTTACAACATCTTCACATTTTGTTCTACAACATAAAATACCTCATTAAACACCCCACTGGTGAATGTCTAAAGTTTTTACATGTCTTAAAAACAGCAGTTGCTAACAAGTGTGACTAAACGTCATCACCCCGAACATTAGCCACCTTTAGCTTAGCGGTGGTGACCGCATGTGACCAGGATGTAGTTATAGCGTTAGCTTTTTACTCCTGGAGCTTCAGAAATCATTAACGTGGTGGAGATGATCCTGCTGAACTGATATTCCTCAAAAAGACAATGGAAAAATCCCATTGTCTTTTTTCGAAAGAGCCCTTGAGACGCTTACTTAAAGGTCCCCAATTATACTGTTTTTCATCAATATATTATAGGTCTCAGATACAAAACATTTCTCTGAAGTGTTTGGCTCCAAATACCAAACACATCATTGCAGCATTACCCATAATCCCCTCTGTTTCAGCCCTGTTTAAAAAGTGCTGATTCTCTGGGTGTTTCTCAATGTCGAGGAAGGATGCTCCAGAGCCACTATTTCAAGCATACTACGTCATCGAGTCCCGCCGAAGGACTGATCCAATGTCCAGCATACTTCGTCGCGAGATATTTCGAGGCTGCACATGTGTAGACTCCGCGGTCTTAAAATCCCCACAATGCTTTGCGCACGGACCAATTTCCAAATCTTTGGCGGAAATCACGCTCCATTTAAGGCGGGGCCTCGCATATGACGCACACCTGTTAGCCTGTTCCACCATTCTTCGTTTCCGAGGATAGGAAGGATTCTTGCCTCGCGCTTCTGAAGCAAGTGACTCGGAAGACATGTGCTACGAAGCAAGCGTCCTCGACATTGAGAAACACCCTCTGTCTGTTACTTTAGATGAAAATAAGGAGCCCCTCCCCACGCCCCTCTGAGAGAGATTTGGTTAAAAAGAACACAATGGTGCTCTAGGAGGACATCCAGGTGATAAGGGGAGGGGGGGACTACCTTGGTTGCTGATTGGCTAATGGTTACACAAGCACATGAAGAAGAGGGGACACATGTTGATGTAGAAGAGACATGAAGAAGAGGGGACACATGTTGATGTAGAAGAGACATGAAGAAGAGGGTACACATGTTGATGTAGAAGAGACATGAAGAAGAGGGGACACATGTTGATGTAGAAGAGACATGAAGAAGAGGGGACACATGTTGATGTAGAAGAGACATGAAGAAGAGGGGACACATGTTGATGTAGAAGAGACATGAAGAAGAGGGGACACATGTTGATGTAGAAGAGACATGAAGAAGAGGGGACACATGTTGATGTAGAAGAGACATGAAGAGGGGACACATGTTGATGTAGAAGAGACACGAAGAAGAGGGGACACATGTTGATGTAGAAGAGACATGAAGAAGAGGATTTTGCATAATAGGTGACCTTTAAAAGAATACATCATCCCTGCACCTCTTACATCTCTCTTGTGTGTTGCTTTGTTTAGTGATGAAGTGCTGCCTCTTGAGGAAATCACGTACGGCTGGAAGAGACTAACGTTTGTTGAGAGTTCTGCAATAAAGAGACACTGAGGATCCACCTGGAGCTGTACATACATCCTGTTTGGTTCACTAAGTATACATTTATTTTACGGTACCTGAGATTTCCTTTCTGTATAAAATGTGTTGGTCCTATTGTTTGTATTATGTTGGTACAATGACATGTTTATTTAAGTTATGGGAGGTCCTTAATATTTCTCCGATTGTTTGGATTTGATGGTGAAGCTCAATAATCCTGATGGAAGAACATGTCCATGTGTTTACAGTTTTCAGCTCTCCTATGCTTCATCCAAGGCCCTTTTCTCATTTAGTTGGTCATGCTTTGTGTCATATCAAAGCCACTAATATTCTTCTGACTGCTCATCACGTTAGCATTATAGGGTGACTGTAAATATTGAATGCTGTACAGTATTTATTGCATTGCTTTAACATGTGTATTGTTTCATTTGATGCTCTGATGTGAGATTTTGTATGGTTATATAATCAACCATTTGTTTTATTTCTCTGAATATGTGGCTGCTAAAGGTTATGGCATTTCAATGTAATCTGCAACTTCACATATCGCAAGAGAAAGAATGAAAATCAGTTCTGGCTGCATCGTGTGTCCTTTATTTCACCGTCTCAATGTTGTTGTATTTGAATCGGGCTGTTGCGATTGATTATCTATTCCCAATACTGCACGAAAGCTCTTAAAGGTGGGGGAGGTACTTTAGGAGAAACCAGCTCGAGTGCGCTAGAATTTGAAAATACACAACCGGAAAAAATCTGCCACTTCCTCACAGAGCCCCTCCTCCAACACACACGAACGCGCTCATGACCAATGAGGGCACGAGATAAGTTTGTGCACAGATGGAAGGCTGACAGGCAGGTAGGCCATCCAGTTACTTTAGCCGGGCCGGCTCAGATGATTGGTCGTGCTTTTTACAGCGCCACGGCTTCCACAGATGACCTTTCTTTATGTATTTATTGTCAAAGCACTTCAGATATTCATTGCTATCGGGATGTTAAGAGCATTCCATGGAATATAACAACAAGTGTATCTCGAGCCGGTTTCTCAAACTTACCCACCCCACCTTTAAGTTCAGAGTTCTTGGTTAAGAGATGACCTTTCTTCGTAAAACTGCGGTGCATACCACGCCATATTAGTACAATTTCCAGGTTTAGAGAAACGTTCTCATTTGTCTTCAGGTAATGATGTGTTTCCACTAACACTCGGCCGGGTCTATGAGCAGAAACTTGCCCTTCAGAACTTCCTTCTACTGCAATTTAAAAGTTGCATCCATCTGTGCTGAATTTCTGCTTTTGTTTTTGACCCCTGAGCGTATCCTACTGTATTAACATTCACTACTCTACTGTCTTCTTAAAGAGAATAAGACATTTAAACAGCACATGTTGGACTTAACTGCAAGTTAATGGGGCTTGATCACAAATTAAACACAACCCTCACAATAAAACGTGTAATAGCTACGTTGGTCCACAGGGCAAAACGTAGCTATTACACAAATAACCCTCTCAAGATGTGACATGGATATAATGTTTTGTTTCCTATTTATTTCTAATGAGCAGTGTCCGTGTCACGTGATCGCATACTTTCCTAGCGTGAAAAAAAAAAACCCGTTGTGAACACCCGATTTATTTTGAGTGGAAAATCCTAAATTGTTGATAGTTTGGCCGTTAAAATGCTTTTTGATTACATTTCTAGCGAGAAGTGTATATTGTACTTTATGTCCAGTGGATGTGTAGGATCCATGGTTTGATAGATATTACGAAGATTATTTGAGCTCCATTTTTTTTTTTACAAAATATTGTATCTATGTCACGTCTCGAGAGGGTTATTTGTAGGGATGGGTATCGTTTGAAATTTATCGATTCCGATTCCGGTTCTGCTTATCAATTCCGGTTCTTATCGTTTCCCCGTTTCGATTCCAAAATTGTAAAAGAAAGAGGTCAAACGTTTAGATAACAAAAATATCTTTATTCTTTTCAGCTTTAACTGAAATTGTAACAAATAAAAAATATACATGCAATACAAATGTATTGCACAATAGCTGTGCTTTATTTTAACTGAGCTATGCCTGTGGCAAGCTATTAACAGGCATTACACTGTGCCTTGTCTTTTTCTTTTTTAGTGTAGTGGAGCCTCACTTCAGAGCGTTTACCGCGACCCATCTTTGGTGTTATGAAGTGACTGAGCTCGTGAACTGTCTACGGGAGGGCGGGGGGAGCCTTGCTGCGGGGCAACTGTGGACCTCTGTCGCCTGTCAGCGCAACTTACATGATGCCGTTTAAAAAAATTAAGGGCGGTGCCGGCCATCAGCGTACCGAGCCGGCCGTCAACGGCCCGCTGACGACCGGCCGTTCTGTGATTCTCCAGGTCCGCCCTGTATTCCACCGGGGCGCCGCGGTACAGACGGACCCGCTGGAATACAGGGTCTACCGCGTTTAGGAACCGTTAAGCAGAACCAAAAAGGTGTATTTTGTACGGGTACCCGGTACCCGGCATTTTCTTATCGGTTCTCATCTGGAACCGAGTTTCGGTTCCCAACCCTAGTTATTTGTGAATATACTACGTTTTGCCCTGTGGACCAACGTAGCCATTACACGTTTCTTTGTGAGACTGGGTCATAAACACTCATTTAAATGAACCACCAATCAAAGAATAACCCAAATGAAAATCTAAATAAATCCCAAAACACTCATAGTTTTCGTTTGAGATGCAAACAGCAACACCCTTTTAGTTTTTCGTGTCCCTTTTAAGATACACTTCAGAACAAAAGACACAACAGGTGTGTGGGTTTGTAAGTGTGTATTTACAATAAAGGGGAATATATGTCACAGAGGACGAAGCAAAGCCGGGTCAGAGGTCAGCAGAGGGTCATGGGTTGTGTCCGCTGTAGAACTTGGACAGGAAGTCCTTGGGACGAGGCTCTTCGCTCTCGTTGAAGAATCGCATGATGTGGGTCTTCTGCTTCCAGACGTGGATCGTCTCCTGGAGCTCCATCTTCCCCTGGAGAGGAAGTAGCAGACACACATTTATTTGTTCAGTTGTGATGGGAAAGTCTTATTAATGATCCGTCAACACTGAGATGAGGAGCTGGTCAGCCGATGAAATAGAGCTTGGAAAAACTTGATAATTCAAAACTGACGAGTATATTCTTTGCATCAAGGCTATGTTTAACAGACGGCCTGTTCACACCAATTTGTCTGCGCATGTTTGTTGTGCAGCTAATCAACAGTGCAGATTTAATAGAATGACACATTTGTGTTTAAATCGGCAAAATGTGGGCTATTTACGATAGCCGAGTACTGTTGCTAGGGTAAATGCAGGAGACACACAATGACGCGTTCAAGCTCTGTTCATTAGCAGAACAAATAAAGTATTGGGCAAAGGTACATTTCACCATTATGTGTTTTGAATGTATCTTGTAATTTAGGCTCCTGAATAGATTCAGGTGTTTTAAAGAGAATTTTCCAAAGCAATAAATATACTTGTATGTTGTGATATAAATTACATTTAGGATCACATTTACAAAGTACATTTTCAGGACAAAAAAAAGTGTGGTTAGTCTGGAGTCTAATGTAATGTAATGTGGTACTAAATGCACTAAATAGGTATCGTTTTAAAAGAAAATATGATTGTATGGTATTTAAGGAGCTGTCTTCACCTTGATGACCAACATGTCGATCACTCGGGGGTCGTTGACGTGCTTGTTTTTGTCGAACATCTCCCTCACTTTGTCTCTGCCCGTACGCACGTTGATGTCCAGCTGAAACAGAGCCACTGTAGAGAGAGACAAACTATAAGTCACCTTTTCCCACCTCAGCAACCTGTTCCAGGAACACGTTTGTTATGATATATTTTACAACTCTTATGCTAAGGTGAGTGCCTCTGGACAGATCAAATGTGTAGGTGTTATTTATGCTCATATTAAGAATGAAATGCTACTGCAATGTCTTTTAAATAAAGCATCGTTAATGGGATTTTTATAAAATGCACACGTTTGTTATTAGTATCGAAGCTGAGTTGGCACACAATGTAACTTGTGTATTAACTGGATCTAAATGTTGACAGTTTACACAACATGCTATAAACAGGAAACACACATTTCAAAATGACCTTTTTTTAAGAGGTGTTTTAGATATAATCCAAAGTAAGATGAACATGTCATATTTATAGTAAAAGCCATATGCTGTAGATTAAAGTAAGGACCTTAGCATGGAGGGATTCCCTGTAGTATATTCAAAACCAATATCAGTGTAGTATTTTCCAACATGTATAGCCTATGGAATTAATATCGGAAGGAGTACATATTGCATGGTATGGACTCTTACATTGCATGGCTACTCATTATTCAATTAGCTTAAGTGACACCACGAACGTTTATATTAAATATAGAAGAAGCAAAGTGTATTGTTATGATTGTGTTGCTGTTAGCTAGCGGCTAACGTACAGCTGAAGCTCCACATAGACACGACCTTGACGCCGGTTCTGTCAGTTTATATCATGTTACCCTCCACACAGAGCCACATACCGGTGCTGGGGATCTCCCGGTACCAGGCCCGGTACAGCTCGCGGACCCTCCGTTTCGCCTCGTCCAGGTCCCGGCTGAAAATGGGTTTGACAACTTTAGAAGCTCCAGCGGCAGCTCGGGTCGCTGCTGTCGACGCCATGACTGCTGTCGTCACTGGACTTCCGGTTCTTCTTCTTCTTCTGTAGCGCCACCTGGTGGACTGGCTGGTTTGAGGGCTACAGCAGGGGTGTTCAAACTTTTTTCAACGAGGGCCACATACAGAAAAATATACGAAGGGCTGGGCCACTCACTAGAGGTATATCGCCTAAATTGGAAAAATCAATCCAATATAAGTAAATTATTCTTGACACTTGAAAATGCTTTAAAGGTCCCATGTCATGGCCATTTCTACTGATCATAATTCCATTGTTGAGGTATACTAAAATAAATGTATATTGTGCAATGTTCCAAACTCACATTGGTTTCAGCATCTCTGTATAGTATGTGTATTCACTCTCTGTCCTAAACGGCTTGTTGGAGCTCCTGCCCCCCCTCCCACTCCCCACCTCCTGCTCAGAGATCAGCTGCTGGGCTGTCAGAAGAGGGGGAGGAAAAGAGAGTCTCCGTTTATTATTCTTGTATTATTATTATATATGTCGTTATCAATTTGTTTTAAAGCTCAATAAATAACAAAGAAGACCTCTGAGCGGCACTTTTCTTATTTTGTCGGAAACTCTGCCGACACTAAACAGGCTACCTGATATGATATTGACTTTCTATAAGCACACACTTTCCATAAGAAGACTATACCGTGCAATTGTTGTGTCAAATGATGCACCCCCGTCGTGAAATGCACCCCTTGACACGGGAACGCGCATTTGAACGTATAGTCCGCTATTCTATGTTATCTTTTTGATGGTTGTCGAATCCTGGATGTTGCATTCATTCGTCACTTATTTTTCAGTTAATTTTTTATTTAATATATGTTTTTATTTAATTGTGACGTCCTGTCTGTATATTGCTTGTACTGGTGCTTTACAATGTATTGTTTATTTTTACATCAAGTGCTTGAGGGTGGGATTAATATAATTATTTTTATTTTGCGGGTAGCTTTTTATGAACAGCCTGGTTGCCACGATATGCACCCCTCGCTATCTCTGACAATAAACGTGCCACATACAGGAAACTTGCTTCATTTAATTGGTACTAGTCCTACAACTATCCTCCAAAGTTCTTGAGGGTGGGATTAATAGAAGCATCTTTTTTTGGGGGGGGGGGGGTGCTTTTTACGGCAGGCCAAGGGGTGCATTTCACGACGGGGGTGCATCATTTGACACAACACCAGCAACAGTATTTCAAATTTGGGCACCAGGGGGCACAATAAGACAATTGAATACATTTTAAAACAGCTACTGCACTGTAAAAGCTGTGACCAATAGTTACTTAAAAAAAAACAAAGTGACAATTAATATAATTAAATTGATTTTAATCACAACAATTTGATTAGAAAGTCCTGAATAAATTGAGTTTATAAAACATAATTATAATAAGTAAATGTGTGGAATTTATTCATTTTGATTGAGTTTTTATTAACCAATTATTGGAACAAACCACCAAGCATATAACTTACAGCAGGTATATTTATTTGTGCAGAATCTAACAAACAACAACAAAATGTTCACCAACATTTACATTTTTTTAGAAAGAAAACAAATCCTATAGGCCTAATGGCTAAGTCCCCAGAGCAGTCAGGACTGTAATGCCTTCCACCATAATAATAATAATAATAATAATAATAATAATAATAATAATAATAATAATAATAATAATAATAATAATAATAATAATAATAATAATAATACATTTAAGTTTTATAGCACTTTTCCTGGTGCTCAAAGATGCTTTACATAAAATCAGAAACAGAAACAGTAAAGAATGGTACACAACACTAACGCAGGTTTTGGGCCTATAGGTCCAGTCATTGTTTGATATTTTTAATGTGGAAATGTTACCCACAACAGATTCAGTTGTAACATCTGTTACTGCAAGAAGGACCAACTCACCATTGAAGGCGCAGCAAAGGGAAGGCCCGGATAGGCCCAGATCCAATCAGGATATGTATTTGTATTGATGTAAATCCTGGCCAATGAAAAGCCTGGAATATCAGATCAGTGTGGGCGGGGTTGAACTTTGACTTTTGTGTGTTTTTTAAAGTTGAAAATGTTTGTTTGCTCGCTGCTGCGAAATGTTTGCAGCTGTAGAAGATCAACAATAAACCAGTGTAATTATACACATGATGGAAATACGGGAGAAATGAACGGATCAGTGAGGAGTTAGCACCCTTAAATGAAGATATAGTGAAGTTTAATCACGGATAAGCATGAGTTTAAGATATTAAATCACTCAAGCTTCCATTTAGCCTTACTTCCTGCAGATTGGACCCAGTGGAGAGACAGTTTCTGGGGTTAAAAGGATCCAGCAAAGGCCCTAAATGAACTTTAACTTTTAACTGTATCACCTCCAAACGTCATGTTTTACCTGATGTAAAACGACCTTCCTCACATGGTAAGATAAACTAGTTTTAAGCCCGCCGTGGCTGCATGATGACAAACAGATACTTTTGTGTAATATTGTGTTTGTGTGTGGTTGTTTACTTTGGCTTTGTTCTGTCATTAGAAATATGTAAGGTAGACTCACCCCTGCCACTTGTGTGTGTAATGTTGTATGAACTGCTGTAATAGCCTTTTGATTTGTTGATTCAAGGAAATAATTACGTTTCTTACCTGTTCGTTTCTCCTTAGGCAAGGCACGTTTTATTTATGTAGCACCTTTTAAGGCAATTCAAAGTGCTTAAGATAATTAAGAAACAGTGCAGTTGAAATACATTATAAAATGGCATTTTAAAAACAGTCATTAAAAAGCATAAATAATTTTAAAAAACATTTAAAAAAAGAATATTAGTCCAACATGTCTTAAGATTTTCCCGCATTCATATTTTGCCTTTAACCCTTATTAGATTTGGGTTGGCGTGCTGATTATGGGACATTTTCTTCTAAAAAATTAATACATAAAGGTATTTAATCCTGCCCATTGTTGTGCACCTCAATGTAAATCGACTGTGTCATGATCCACACATGGCCTCTTTTTTAGGCACGCGGTGGCTGTAAAATGACAACTGAATAATGAGGCAATGTGTTGGCATGCAGTCAGAACCATGTGTCGTTTATGTTTGTTCAGGTGTGGCTTATCTCTGACTCTGTAAACCTCAGATCTCTTTGTTGTTGGGAGCTGCTGTTAATAACCTAGTTCATTTGAAATAAGTATTTCAGTTTGAAACGTATTGGTTTCACCTCAGTAGATTTGGTTGACGTGATGACGTGAGGATTTAAAATAGACTATAAAGGCTTTCAATCAGAATTATTGTATTTGTGGATGGTCTTGACTTGCATATCAAAAAATAACTATGCTCGAGTTATTAAAGGTGGGGTAGGCAGGGGCGGATCTAGACAAATATTCATGTGGCAAGAGGGTGGCAGGAGACTTTGAGGGGTGGCATCCCCTGGCAGAAGTATGCTGATTTAATCGCAGTCAAATCAATCAATGTTAACTTGGAAAGCCACACTATTGATATTTTAACTCAATAACGTTAGGTGACATTATTGTGGCACATCAGCAAAGCCTTAAATAGAAATATATAACTTGCAGACATAATTTAATGAATTTGAACTGAACAATAACAAATAAAAGACCAGCAGGGGTACCAAATCTATGCAGACTGCTGCAATAAGTACATTAATGAACTGTCTCATCTATGTTTGTCTGAATTAATATGATAATATTACATTGCATTTAGCTGACGCTTTTATCCAAAGCGACTTACAATAAGTGCAGATAACTTGAATGAACAATTATTAACAATCATCCTATCAGCTGTCAATCACTGTTATGATTCACATATTCGTAGCTGGTATGCCAATTGTAAATAAATTGACAAATAACAGGAGGGATGTTAATGTTGCACAACATTTAAATCCTGCCCATATGCACTCAGGTCATTGTGTGTTGCTGATAAATGCGCACGAGTACAACAAAAGAAGAACAGGGCAGTTATGTTTATTTGCATCATTACCAAATGATGAGTCGAAATGGCTTCTGACTCACATTCCCGGAATAAATCAAAGGGAAGTTAAATCTGAAGCTGTGTTTTTATTTCGATGTTTAACCTTCACCTCTTTCAGACTTTTCAATAAGCATATATTGTCCAGTTAGTTTGCTTTGCAGATTTTATTTTTTATATATTGTATTTGTAATGTTGAGAAGAATCCATGAACCTTATACGTCGAAACCAGTCCAGCACACACAGGGAAAAACACGAACCTATGGTCACATTTGTTTTATTGGCAAAGTATCAAGAATCCTTCATTTGTGGCACAGCAGGAAATACAGTTGCAGCAAAGAGAAAGTGCAGATATAAAGACACAATTGTAATGAATGGATTAACATATTAAAAAGCAAGCACACGTTATTAAAAATAAAAAAAGTGCACATCCATGATTTAAAACAAAGTAGCAGCATTATAAAATAACTAAGTTAATAAATAATAATGTAAATATAATTGAAAACCATATTCCATACTGAATGTGGACATTATAATACACTTTAAAGGTGATGGATTTAATAGACATTTTAACCGGTTTTATACCAGTTTTTTTTTATTATCATTTTTTCTATATACATTTATGATTATTGTTTAATCTGCATACCTGAGTTATCCTGATCAATGTGGACGTTTCAGACTTAAATCAGTGATAATATGCAGCTGGCGGTCATTATTGAAAAAAACAAGCAACAGATATTATGCTTGGCAGCCAGGCCTGGACTGGCCATCGGGAGGACCGGGAGGTTTCCCGATGGCCAGGCCTGTTAAGTGGCCTGCTGGCCTGAGGATTTTTTTTTTTATGTATAGGCTATTGTGAACGCAACGCTGCGTAAATGTGGGTCTGACTCTGCCTCACAGAGGATGACTGGCTGTCTACATGATGTGGCCTGCCGACATGGCCACTTTCATACAGATCATACACTGAAGCCATTGATTGGTCTCTGTGTGTCATTCAAGCTCGGGAGGGTGTGTATCATGGATGTATAATAAGGTGTGTATGTGTGGCGCGAGCGAGAGAGAGAGCGCGCACCGGTTACATGTATTGTTGTTGTTAAATATTTATTTAATGAGGGTCGAGGAAGAGAAGGTAGAAAAATAAAGTGTGTTTTGCAGACAACTAAATAAACGCACCACGGCGGGAGAAGCATGTACAGAATATACGTAATAATGTGTGAATATCATTGAAAACAATAGGCTATTACATCACATTAAACACCGTCATCAAGCATGACCATTCACTACCGGAACAGGAGTGTCGGTGTAAGGTGGCATCTCAAGTTCTGTTCCAGCTCCTCCAGCAGCGGCTCCTCCAGAGACCTTTGACCCGCAGATTCTCGGATTTTTTTGACCACAGTAAAAAGCTCCAGCAATCAAAAGCACAGCAGCTACGGAGACACAGATCAAAGCGATCTTCTCTTTCTGCAACAGAGAGGGACAAAAACAATCAGACCGCTATATGGCACTACTACGGAGCTCCGACCTAAAGGGACATGAAACATTGTTTTTAAAAATCTAGATAACGAGTGACTTTATTGCTATAAATTGGAAAAAAAGAATACTGTGAGAGTCACAGACTTGAATTGATAGATCAAGGCAGACTGTCCTTAAAATGAAGTCCGAGTTCGAAATATAGGCCTATCTCAAATAATATAGGCTATGCACAGTGGCGTACACAGACATTTATAGAGGCAGGTGCTCGAGAAAAAAAAAGGGCACCTTCTGAGTCGTCGTGGCGGTCGCGCCGAAATTGTGCGCTCTGAAATTGTGCGCTCCGAAATTGTGCGCAAAAATTTGCCGGATAATGGCGGATTTTGTTAGTTTCTTTTCGGTTTTTGGTTACTTTATTTCGGTTTTAGGGTTAGGGTTAGGGTTATGTTATTTAATTCTTATTTTTGCCTGATTTTACTGATTTATTATCAAAAAATTAATTATTTTAACATTTATTTTTATTATTCTAAATGACCTAGAGGGGTCCAATCTGAAGCTAAGGGGGGGAAGAAATCCCCCCTCCCCCCGGGATTGACGCCCCTGGTGGAACCGCCGGCTGCCTTAGTAGTGTGAGATTTATTAAAGGCACATCTTGTATGTCGTAATTGCATATATATTTATTTCAATAACCATATGCTGTCTGATGCAGATGCCTATCTAAAACAAATCAAATAGGCTTACTAGCTTCTACACGCTAAAGCAACTGTAGTCAGGGATGCAAACTCATCAGGTATGAAAAAGGTGACAAGGATCCGAGCCCCCCGACCCCACGGAATATCGGCTTTAAAATTAGGAATAACAGAGGATTTTAGCAGTCAGAACAACTAAAGCAGCAGGTAATAATAACAGAAACGCCAAAGAGTTACATCTAATAGAAATATATAAAAGCATTTATTTTAATTGTGTAGCAGTCAGTTTATAATTTTGGCAGCACTGTTGAGCATTTTCAAAATGTATTTTCATGCCTCTTAGTATTTTTATAATACTTTTCTACTTTCACTTGAGGAACATTTTGAATGCAGGACTTTTACTGTAACAGAGTATTCCTACACTCTGGTACTTCTACTTTTACTCAAGTACAAGATCTGAGTACTTCTACTTTTACTCAAGTACAAGATCTGAGTACTTCTACTTTTATTAAGTACAAGATCTGAGTACTTCTACTAAAGTACAAGATCTGAGTACTTCTACTTTTACTCTAGTAGCCTACAATCTCTATACTTATACCACCTCTGTTTATAGCCTATGAAAAAAACTATTAGAAAACGAAGGCTAAAGCTAACGTTAGCAGATAGTGACAATGATATTGCGACAGAAAAACTTTTCAGTTCACATCACGCAGGCAAGAAGACTCGAGCACACAGCTCGCGCTTCATATATTAAAAAATAACACCATGCGCGTCATGATGGCACATAACAGCTCGCGACCGCAGATTATTTCGGCGATTAGATAAAATGTAAATTATATTTGACGCAACTTTAGTTACATTTCCATGACTTTTTCAAAACTTTGGGAAAAATATTGTTTTCCATAACTTTTCCAGGGCCTGGAATTTGCATTTTGAATTTCCATGACTTTTCCAGGTTTTCAATGACCGTACGAACCCTGTATAGTTTAGTTTGGCATCTGATTTAGGGGATTAAACAATACACTCGTTGTATTTGTTACCTGGTGGTTACTTGGTCGTCACTAGGGCACTTTTAATCGTGTTGCTGCGCGCTGCTGCACCACACACCCGCCGTGGCCTGTCTGACTGACTGACTGTCAGCTCTCACTTTGAGAGCAGGGAAGGGAGGGGCTGCAGCCAGAGCACGTACGGGAGTGCCGCGGGGCCCGTGTGGGGATGTCTGACAAAATTACAACGCGCATTTGGGGCATTGTTGTATATATTAGAAGCTTTTAATCCAGAATTGATCGATGTTACCATGAGCCACATACAGTACACTGTAAAAAAAAAAAAAAAAAACTGTAAAAAATGAACTTTCAAAAGGGCACATTGCTGTCAAGAGGGCAAAACGGGCAGGTGCTCAAGCACTACCTAGAGTCTATGTGTGCACGTCTCTGGCTATGCACTGTCATCGCAATTTGCCCCACATAAACACAACAGTCTGCAATGAAACGGTTGTCTCCATGTGCTCCACTTGGCTCACCAGTAACTTTCTCGAAGAAAAAAAAAGTCGGGATTTAGCATTAGTTTCATTTAAAAAAAAAAAGTCGGGATAACGGGTTAGTAGGCTCTCTTTTTTTTCTTTTTCTTTCATGTCCCTTTAGGGGGCTCCGAACACAACACAGTAGCGTCATGTCTAAAATTAATCTACAAACTGCATTTAATAATCAATAGGATTTGTATGTGTTGTACTCACGCATGATGGCTGGGGGGTGACGGTGATCTGTTCCGGGTTCCTGTCCTCTGTATTCGGCGCAGGGCTGACCCTCATCCTCACAGCCTGAAAATGTCCCCTCTTGTTGACTTTAAAGACGTGGAAAATGTAATCTCCTCGGTCCTCGGGCTTCACCCCCTGCAGGGTCAGAGTCAGGTCTCCATCTGACCTCCAGTGAGGGGCTACAGATGTTCTGTTCTCAAACCCTGAGCCCTGTGAGGTGTTTCCGGAGGAGAGGTCCAGCTCAAACACAAGCTGTTGGTTTCTCTCCACTCTGTACATCCCGAGTTTTCCTGCAGTAAAGTAGTGGAAGGTAAATCCAGCAGCCTCTCCCGCAGTCACTGATATCTCCGAGGATATGATGACATTCAGCTGGGTAAGTTTCTCTGAGCCGCAGGTTAACCTGTACAGTCCCTGGTCGTTGATGTTGCTCCTGTTTAAGATCACGGACTCGTTTGGACTCATCCGATCTTCGTAACCGTCTGCCGGCTTCCAAACACCCTCCAGATGAGCCACATTCTGACTGCTTTCATCTGTCAAAGTGTACTGGAGTTTCGCTCCTCTCTCGCTGCAGTGTTCGGTTTCTGGAAACTGAACTCTGTCTCCTAATATTGTATCGAGAGTTAGTCCGATAGTAAGGTTGACAATAAATAAGAGAGCAGCACGCAATGTAAGAGCTGCCATTGTTGGAGTGGTGCTGTGTGAACTACGGTGTTTCCTCCAAAGCCGGATAGATAGATAGAAGACTCCGCCCACCAACACAACCAATGGGCGCATTCATGGTGCTTCCAATGGGCGGGGGAGTGCACAGCTGTGAGAGCAGGCGGCAGCTATGAAGACAGAAATGAGTAACTCGCAGAGAAGCCCGTGGAGCACGTGCGATTTTCCGCCGAGGATGTTTGTGCAGGGAACTCCCTCTGATGCACGGCGTCTCTCTCCTTATCAAAGTCAAGTCAAAGTCAACGTTATTTTCAATCTTTCAGTTTGTGTGTGCAGACAGAGATCGAAATACCGTTTCCCACAATCCCGAATATAAAAACAAAGATATAGAAAAATATGTAGGCCTATGCAAACATGTACCTACACACACAATCAAAGGACACATTTATGCACACATTAAGACCTAAATAAAACGGATCAATCAACAAAATAACAGTCACTTCAATATCTTTGAGAAATGTACATTAGTGCAAGATTGTAGCAGCGCAGTGTAACATCATATTAAATATAATCTGCCTATTGAATTCACACAAAAAACTATCATTGCTATTATGGGCTGGGTGGATCTTTTTAAAGAGTCAGACTGTGTGTCTAGGTCATCTCCGCAGAGAGTTGTAGCCTTCACCTCAAAGTGAAATCAAATGACACACACGGGCAACCACAGATGGATGTTCAGCCGCTGAACTCCACGCACACACACGCGCGCGCACACACTCCCATTGTACAACCTTTACTTTCGATTTCTTTTTGTCGTGTATTCAGACGAAGGAAATGTTTTTCTTCTCCCGTTTCTTTTGCAATTTAGTGAAACTACTTTTGTTTATGGCTGTGCGTAAACACAAATAGGTGAGTGTGTTCATATTCATTATACTAACCGAGAAGAAATGTGATGATTCGGTAACTTTGGTCTATATTTCTGCCAGAAATGTAGGCTACTTCCTTGAGCCTCATGTAGAGCAGTTTATTACCCAACAAGTTACCTTCATTTTAATGTATGGATATTGCACTGTCTAACTCTAACTGGTCGATCTGCTTTCTGTGATTGTGTTTAAACTGCAACGCAACATTATATTAAGGGGTTGAAATCTTCATGCTGGTAAAATAAGCAGTGACTGCTAGATTTGCTAGATTTATTTATTCACCAGACAGAAAGAAAACCCAACTATCTTCTTTATGTTACTTTAATTCTGTGGGATGATTATGCTTTAAACGTTTGGACTCCAGTTCCTACAATGCTTTGGGAATGCAAACAGGAAGTAGTTTTATTATTTGTAATGCATTTTGGTTTAAATATTGTATTTAGAAAGGTATTTCTAATTAGCTGTGGTGATAATAGTTCCTATTGGCCACGTGTCCACAACAATCACTGGTTTATACAACTAACAGAAAACGGATATACAATATTGGACATCCTTTAAATAGTCAAATTGAAGCCATGAAGGCCCGGATAGGTCGACATCAAAAAGGGAATTTATCTCTATTTTACGTGTATTCTGGTCAAAAACCTGGAATATGTGGGCGGGGTTGAACTTTGACATGTTTGCTGGTGTGAATTATCTTTATCTAACTCTCATAAATAATGAGGCTATGACTTGCAGAGCTGTTGTCAGACTCAGTTTAGATGTGGTGGTTTTTCTTTGTTCTCTGTGGTTATCAGTTTGACTTCATGGCTGCTGACAAGTGAGAGCCTTTTGATCTGTGGTGGATCTACCAGTAATAGCCTTTTCATTTGTTAATGGTTCTGATTACAGTGTGTATTGGTAACACTGTGTGTGCGTAATCTCTCTCTGTCTCTGTCTGTCTCTGTCTCTCTCTCTCTCTCTCTGTCTCTCTGTCTGTCTCTGTCTCTGTCTCTCTCTCTCTCTCTCTGTCCTGCCTCTCTGTCTCCTCCTCTCTCTCCTTCTCTCTCT